TTTCATGTACATGGTTTTCGTAATTTGAAATAATAGCTTGGATGAGGGAAAAGGGAAAACTTGCAAATGCAAATGGCTTTTTATTTTGAATGAACATACAAGGCACTGTGAAACACATCCAGACTGTAAAAAAATGCCTAAACGTGATCATCTGGATAGAAAAGCACCAATCTTTCAGAAGCTGTATACATGCTCAGTAAGCTGGATGAGGACATCCAGCACATATACCAGCGATTCCAGTTTTACTTCTGGTCTCTCATAAGCTCTACTTCAGATAATGAAGGCATATTATTCTGCTGCCAAAAAGAAAAGAGCAGAAAGAATTCCTTAGCTACAAATGACTTCTACATATTTTATTCCTTTTTTTTTTTTTCCTTCAGCATTAGGTCATCAGGTAATTTTTAGTAGTATTTTGTATTCACAGAAGCTGAGACTTAAAGCCTGTAGAACTTTTTGAAATCATTGTATCCACAGAAGTATTAACAGAGGAAAGTATTTTCCTAAATATAACTTTCTCCACCCAGATGATCATCTAACATGACATAATTTATTAATTTTTAAAACATATTTTCAAACAACACAAGAATAACATTTCCTACGGTTAGCAGATTACCAAGATGGCTAATTATCACTGACTCTTTCTCATACTTGAGGATTCTTTTGCCAAAAAACACTCAATTCAAGAATCGTCCAAGGCCTCAGTGTCTTGCAAGCGGAAAGTTTCTACTCACATTGACAAAGGAAGTATTATACTGCCTGCTAACCAAACAGTAGTTCCTTCCAACACTCTTGACCTTTGTAAAATTGACACTTTTCTTTTAATGGTAGCATGATTAAGGGTGTCATTAGAGATCTGTATTTGATGATGTCTCTAGGGCAGAATTCTCTTAACATCCAAAAAAAATAAAATAAAAGCCTCAAATGTAGTTTTAAGTAAATATAAACCAGAAAATCATAAAGCTAAACAGGTGCATTAAATGAAATTTTAATCCTTTCTCCTTTAAAAAATAATTTAATAGATTGCAAAATACTTCCAGGAGTTCTGCCACCTCCCCTATTTAACTTCTGTAGAAGCATGCACAGACTAAAATCCTGTGCATGACTGGTACTCCTAATTAGGCAGCTCCTTTTGCTATGGTCTGCCAAAGGAAAGTAAGAAGAAACTCTGTGTAATATTTACTTTTTCCTAGTTATCAAAACTGTAAAAGAAAAGCTAACAAAGGCCCTGCAAGAGGATTGAAGCATAAAACAAAGAAAGATCTATAACGTAGTTATTTGAATTGTCATTGTTGTTGAAGCAATCTTTTACACAATCCAAATCATGTGAGAATTTTCCTGATACACTCCAAAATGTAGGAATGTCTTTGGATTTTTCCATGGACAGGAATCATCAGTATCTTGTGAGGAAAAATAAAATGTTCTCAAAAGAGACTTCAATCCCAGCTATTTGCAAAAGTTGTAACCTGAATAGGAATATAACATAACATCAGTTTAAGTAAAGAAATGCAAGACTGCTAGAAATGGTTTACTTTTTTTTTAATTCTAGAGGCTGAGAGGTAAAGAAATTGCATAAATAAATCATTACAGTTTGTCCATTTCCTTTAAAATTCCCAACACAAGTCTACCAAAGACCTGGTATGCTAAAAATCAGAAGTATCTATGATTCTAATTATATTCTAACTCCTTTACGAAAATCTGAGATGCAAAAGGGCATGTAAACCCTTCCACGCTTCTTTAGAACTGAATAAACTACCAGAAAATATTATATAAAAATTTAACATGTATCAAAATATGAAAAACTGCTTTTAAACAAAACACAATTTAAGTAATTTTCACATAGTAACAGACACATATTTGGGTATTGCATAAATTCACTGCCAGCTAAGCCTCAGACCTCCTCACTCCCCCCACTGGCTGCTGAATTTTTACAGGGTTATATTCTGCCCGCAGACACAAATACAGTCCAGAACCTCCAACTGCAGAAATCAGTGACTGAGACTTTAATTAGTTCCTCATTTATCCACTTGTGTTTCATACTGTGAAACTTCATAAAATTCTTAAAATCCACATGGTGTGCAAAAACTTGATTCCACATTTAAAATTACTGAAGAGCTCTTGATTCAGGATTGCTAACAACTCATTTTGGCTTTTTACCAGCCATGTTTTCAGTATCTGACACAATTTACAGAAAGCCAAAGCAAAATAAAATTACTTATCCCAGTCACATTTCCTTCACTGCCATGAGAAGTGCTACATCAAGATTAATAAATGGTTTATTTCCAATAAGCTTATGAACAAAATAAAGAATTGAGTTCAATAATGCTTCTCAGGGAGCTGAATCACAGGTCTTGCCATTTTAAGATTGTCACGGGATCTAATTCCTCACACAAGAACTTCCATACTGCTTCCTTGGTAAAAGAAAAGGTATTTAAAATACAAACACTTGAACTAATCACCCAGAAACTTACTTAGCTGGGACTGGGAAACATCATTCCTGGGAAATCTTAAATTTCTAATGAAACAGACATACTTTATATTATGCAGTATGGGGAAAAGTTCAATTCCTAGAATGGCTAGAGAGCTACTTTGGGCATTCAGCACTTTATTTAAGCAGATACAAAACTATGTCTTTTATGTCTTCTCCCAAACCTTATTTAAGTAGGCAACAAGCTTGTTGAGCTTCACAGTACTTCTCTTGGTGGGACTAATCTTCAGTCTGTATCTTCTGCTACAGTGACATGATCCAAGCCATTGTAAGAGAACTGTCTTTTACATCACAGAATGCTTAGGGTTATCTAAGCTCAAGCAGGGTCACCCCAAGACACATTGCACAGGATTGCATCCAGATGGCTTTTGAATTATCTCCAGTGAGGGAGATTCCACAGCTGCTCTGCACAATCTGTTCCAGTGCTCAGTCACCTGCACAGTAAAAAAGTTCTTCCTCATGCTCAGGTGGAAATTTCTGTGCCTTGATCTCTGCCTGTGGCCTCTTGTCCTGTTGCTGAGCATCACTGAGCAGAGCCTGGCTCCATCCCCTTGACACCCTCCCTTCAGGTACTCACAGACATTGATGAGTTTCCTTCTGTGTTGTCTCTTCTCGAGGCTGAACAGACCCAGCTCCCTCAGCCTTTCCTTCTGAGAGATGCTCAGGTCCCCTCATCGCCCTTGTGGCCTCTGCTGGACCCACCCCAGGAGCTCCATGTCCCTCTTGTGCTGAGCAGCCCAGAACTGGACACAGCACTCCAGATGTGCCTCCCCAGGGCTGAGCAGAGGGGCAGGATCACATCCCTCAACCTGCTGGCAATGCTCTTCCCAGTGCACCCCAGGATGCCAATGGCCTTCTTGGCCACAAGGACACTGCTGGCTCATGGAATGCTTGTTCTCCACCAGGACACCCACATCCTTCTCAGAGAGATACTGTTGCCATGCTTACAGACACTCTATTGATCAAAAGACTAAAATCAGTACCCTGAATCCTGAGATGTTTCAAACTCAAGGTATGTCCGTGAGACTGTCTTTTCAAAATTTAAACCAAAGATCAGTCAGAATGGAGCACTGTGCACTATAATTAATAAAATAAACTATATTCTCTGTATGTGTAATAATTTTACTGAACAAATAGCTCTAAAGATGTACTTTTCATAATTTTTATATACAAAAACTATACTAGAAGAATAAAGCTTTAAGAAATTATTTTACAGAATATGTTGCAATTAATCATGGCATAACATGTTCCCAGATATCAACATCAAACTCACAAATCAGAAGCATCTTCATGGAGCATTTGAAATGTTAACATGCTTTTCTCATCTTCACAAATACAAATTATTTTAAAGATGCCCCACTCTTCAGCAGCACTTAGCTTTCACCCAATGCACATTACTTTACAAACAAGCACTGAAATCCTGAAGGTCTGATTTTGGGACAACATTCAGCATTGCCTCAGATGTTTATTATATGATAAATTAATTTACTAAATTGAAAGTTTCTCTTATGTAATTCTTTGGGTAACTTAAACACAGTTAGTTAAGGACAACACACAAATATAAGGTATCTTCTCCAAACAATGAGTTTGTGCTAACATGCAGAGTAACACTATTGGCGCAATTTAACTGTTGTAGGTTTTAAAGCATTTGCAAACCATAGCTAGTACATTTTCTCCTTGAATATTTGATCTGGGGGCTATAGCAGTTAAAATACAATGTTAGCATTTTCAAGGCTACATTAAATTAAAATGTAATCATACTAATAATAATTTAAGGTTTTTGTACCTAATTATTCCATTGTAATCACATTTCATTAAAGCAAACATATAAACAAAGTTCAGGAAGCTAAGTATGATTGTGCTTTATGAATTAATTCTAATGTGTCTCTAAAAAAAGGCCAAAGAAAACCATCCCAACTTAACCAAACTGAAAAACATCTGTCATCAATCTATCAAAAAGCCCAAACCCTTAAGTTACCAAAACGTTAGCGAGAATAGTTTCTGAAATATGCAAGTGTGATTACACTTTGAATTGTGTCATTTTAAAGCCTTTACTTTCACTGATGTAATGTAATTAATTTTGACATCCCTTCTTGTTTTTCTTTAGATCACAGCAGAATTCAAATCTTCAAGTGTGAGTGATTACCCACGCTTACTCTAAATGGCAGACAACACAAGTTACTGAACACAAGAAACCTGGACCAAGACTACAGTAGTTATAAAAGGCAAAACAAGGTTAACAGATACGCTTCTTTAGGATAATACATAAGAAGGGGTTTAGGAACTTTGTATCGAAACTCATTTCAGATTATGTGGCGTGCTCTTCTCCCTTCCACAGGTCTGTGAAATAAGGTGGTAAACATGTTTTCTTCAATATTCAGTTTGGTAAGAGTTTAGCTGGAAAATTATTATAGTTGTATAAATATAAAACCACATGACAAAGCAAAATATTTTAATTAGTAAGCCAATCATAAATAAATTCACCTAAAATTAACAGAAGCAGCAGCTATATTCCTTCTACATTGATAATTTTATCATGTTTTAATAGTCAACTTCATTATCTAGCCTGGGACAAAACAATTCATCATCATCGAGCACTCAACAATTCTGCACAATGAGCTAGGTCTTTTTTTAGTTACATTTTTTACATTTTCTTTACAAATGTAATACCTATGTACATTATATATTTTATTTCTACAATTGATTTACTTTACTGAAACTCTACAACTTTCACAGGGAATCTGCTGAAGTCTTTAGCAAGTATGAACCATTCCTTTTAAAAAGAAATTCATATAAACAACCAACATACATCACTGCCCTTTTGACATCTCTGTTAAGGATTTGGATTTGGAAGGGCTACTATGACAAATGTAAGAAAAAAGGCTTTACCTAATTGTACATTTTGTTAAGAAATATCATCCCACATAGCTACATAAATTCACCAGCTTGCAACAAACAGAGCACCATACCGCTGCACAACTGGAAATGTGTACAAACCAATTTTAAAGTTTACTAGTGAAACAGCTTCACCACTTGTAGCACTTTTAGACTGAAGGTAATCTGCAAAATTCTTTTGGAAATGTATACTCCTTTAGCTGTAAAGCTTCCAAAACAGTGCTGGCCACTGTATATTGTGAAGGACAAGCATCCACTTCTGTAACTTCCCATATGGTTCTCTTGGCCCATGCTTCTGTCTGAAGTCAGACTCTTTCCTCTACCTATTCCTTGGTCACTTACAAATCTGCTGTTGAATATTAAGTAGGAATTCATAATACGAGAAAGCTGCTTCTGTCCGATCCTCAATTAAATGCTGAAAAAAATCTGTTTTGGCAGGGTTCTCATCTCTGAAAAGAAGAAGAGAAGGTATTAAGCAAAATCAAACTTTGAAAAAAAAATCCACTGCAAATTCAGAGGGATAAGTTCTAATAAATTGCTTACTGTCATTTGGAAATAAATTCAGTCCAAAGAAACTACAATTGCAAATAATCCACAGTCTAGAAAAAAACTTGAAGTTTGTAATACGCTATCAAACAACAGCATCTTTTTAAGTATATAGAATGGTAGAAAAGCAGGTGAAATACAGCACTTAAAATATCTTGTAGAAACACAAATAGGAAATGTAAAAATTATTTTGTTTTCGAAGCTAACAAATATGCTGGTGGCAATGAAACAATGCAAAATTACATCTCTTTTACATGTAATCTCAATCCTCTCCCCAGACTTTTTTACTTGGCAACAGAATAGAAAAGGTAACATTTTAATGACCTAGTATGCACAATTACTGCCCCCATTAAAATTTGCTGGGACACAGTCCTCTGTTCCGGTGGTGTGCAGCATGCAGCAAAGCTCTCCTACTTATTATGCTCTCTCAGAAATTCCTGCAACTCAAGCAGCAGCCACAATGCCAACAGCTCGAGACCTTCAGTGATATATTTCTGTATCATTTCACTCAGCAAGTCCTCATACTCTTTAAAAAGTGATCTCCTGCCCAGCTCAGTAAAACAAGTACTCTGCAAGTGAAATGTAATCTCAACTATAAACATTTTATAGAATTTAAACCTCCTTAAGCAAGTTATAGCTTGAAAAGGCTTCAGAATTTGGCTCATCTATCAGCTGCTGTCCTGTAGATCTCCGTAATAAACGCATACACAGCTATCAAATCATCTACAGATTACTAACTGTACTTGAATCCATTTATATATATAATGAAATTATAAAAGCTACACCAGAAACTAACCTGGTTAACACCATTGATCGTAAGGATTTAGAATATTCCTAATAAATATATGCAACTAATTCCTACCAATAAAACTATGAGCAACTAACTGAATTTGCACTAGTTTCAAAAACCTTTGTCACCAGACAGTTTTATAAACAGAACTTTATCAGCTGGGAAGGTGATGTTATTCAGTTTCTTCCAAGACAGATATACTCACTTTTCATCAGTCTTAATTAGAAATTGTAAATACAAGTTGCTAGTAACAACTCAGTGCATAACAGAAATACTTACTTTATTACTTGAAGAACTGGACTTAAAGGTCTACTATCTCTAAGCCAAGATATAAAAGATCGTGTCCTTTCTGAAGAAGGTGCATCCACCTCAGGAAGCTGTGTCTGGTTGAAGGTAATTGAAAGAAACCGTCACCTTTTATTATTGAAACTATTTTAAAAAAACAGATCCTGAAAGTTGTAACATAACTCAAGCCGCAATCTTTTTAAGAAATTACCAACCATGGATTTACATACACAGACATTTTTCTTCAGCTTAAGGACAATACTTCATAAAATCTGTGGTGCACTGCTATCTAGGAAGGAGTACATCTTAAACTGTGTTTGTTAAGTTCAGAAGATTTTAGACAGCAAAGTCATCTTTTGAAATGCTGCTTTTGCAGTTCTTGCCTGTATCTTTTTCTGTCAATAAAGTTTCTACATGTTGCACTTTGCATGACTGAAGAAACAAGAAGTAAAATATGAATTTTATGTAAATATCAATGGAAAGATGCTACTGGACTATTTGGTTAGAGAATAAGCTGAAAAAATTAAACTTAAAAGGGTTGAGCAATTCACTGAGCTAAATGTATCACCTCTTCAGCCAATACGATGCTTAAAGACAATTAACTTGACACAAAGGAATTTATTTCAGTTAAAGCAGTTCCAACTGCTACCTTTGTAGAATGAAGGCATAACTTAAAAGCAGAGATAACTTTATGCAAGTTTTTGTCACATTTTCATTATAATAGATGCTATAAACCATAAAAAAATTATCCTCCCTTTATCTAAGTTCCTCCTTCTATTAACTAATACCACCAGCTGGTCATAGAGAATAATTCTAAATTGCTAATATATGCAAAATAAAAAACTCTGAACAAGCAGTCCAGTTTTATAGTAGTCTTATAGCTTATCACTCTTAACCTATTTTTGTCACTTTCCTCCTTTATACTATGCAACTGTAAGCAAAAAATATCTACCTATGTGTTTCTACGCTATCATTTTTTGGTACTATTTGGATATAACCATTTGATTCTGAGCTTTTTAGAGTATCTTGAAAGGGTCCATCCTTACCTGCCAATTGCTGATATTATGGAATCACTACTCACTGAATAGGAGACTTCTCTTTAATTGCTGCTATGTTTCACACACTATAGATACAGGTTGTAACATAAAACCCCTCCACCAAAACACAAATCCAAGAGTCTCTGAAGTTCTAACACCTGAAAGTTTCTCTTTTTAACATTGAACCAAGGTTTGGAAGATGAGTAGAACTTAACTCTTACCATTACTTACAGGCCTATTGTGTCATACCACAGATTTGGTATCTTAAACCAGGTTCACAGAACACAAGGCTTCTGAAAACTACGTTATCAATGAAGTAACTCTAATCTTAACACATCTGAATAGATGATTTTTGTATTTATACTGTGAAATTACTTCCTATTCTTGTGAATGCACATGTACTTCCATTAAAATAATAAAAGCAGTTATGCTACAGAGTAACTGTTTGGCATTTCATGAATGATGAAAATTACATGTTTGCATTCTTTCCTTAAAAGCATCTGACAACTTCTGTCTGGCTCCTATGAAGCTGACAAGAGGTTAGAGGTACCTAACTATGAAAGAACCCAACCTAACTCACAGGTAAATAATTAAAAACTGAAAATGCAGAAATAAATATTAAATTAAATGCATAAATGCATATTAATTAAATGCATATTCCAAGTGTAAGCAGTATACAGCTCAGCTCATTAAAATGCCTACCATTTTCTGTGGCACTGACGCATAATTTGGGTATCCAAGGACATCTTTTATGAAGTTGTTATCACAGTTTTTTCCAATCCAAAGGTAAAAAATCTGTAAGATGCCAGAATCAATTTTAGAAAAGGCCCTGCATACATTTTAGACAAACAGGCACGTGTGATGCAATAGGAATAATAATAGGATAGTAACTTCCATGCAAATTAATCACTTGAGTGTTCCAGTTGCAATTCATATATACATGTCTATATTCATAAGTAAGTGTGTAAATAATCAGTACATTGGTAACACTTAGAGTAAGGTCATTAAAGATAAAAAAAATAATAGGTAGAATTCAAATACTGAAAGAATGAAGTTGCAGGACCCCTTTATAATGTAACAGTTAATGCAGTAACTTCCCATACTACCTCCTTAAATTAAACTCCTCAAATTATTTGAAGTCACACCATTCTGTTGGTTACTGCACACTGGCTTCCCAATCTAAACAAGTTGTAGCAAAGCACCAATTATCAAAGCTTATTGCAGTAATTATTCCAGAGGTCTGGAGACAGAAGCTAGTTTTATATTTACACTCAGCCCAGAAGTCATTCAAGGTTAAAAGGCCCTTCTAGACTGCCATTGGAGTAGCATAATGCTTTATCCAATTGAGTGTGTTTTAGTGCAACTTCTACAAATACCTTAAATTTTATCTACAGATTTTGTCCAGTCTCCAATTCCCTCTCACTTTCAACTCTTATATAACCCAGGCCACAAATCATGAACACACTCTTTGTGCATAACTGAGAACGTTCCTGCATCAAGTGTTTTTTAAAATCCTCTAGTATGTGCAATTTAATAGCCATTAAAAGAAATTCTGGAAAATAAAAATACATTAATTCAATTAAAAACATCTTGATGTGAACTCTTGGTATATTTTAACCAGTATTGCATGAAAAAAATCAACCTCTATAGCCTCAGAGATAAATACAGCCTCAGATCAAAATATAAAAGCTTTTCACTGGAACACAGATTACTGTAGGGTTACCTGGAATGCTGATTCACAACACTGTTATTGCTGAGAGCTGACTGGTTTTAATAACACAGTAGACACTGCTTTTTTGTTTTCTTTTGCCCCTTAGGAAATTAAAAAAAAAAATTAACTTACTGAACCACAATCCATAAGAAAAGCTCCTTCTCTTGTCAACTTCTCTGCAGACAACTTCTGAAGAGGTGGCTGAGGAACAACTCTGTCATTTACATGTATTGTACTCTGCAACAAAAACCCAATACTCAATAGCATTAGAATTTTACCTTTAAAGGTTAAACAAAACAGGAAAAACACTGATAATCTCTAGTAAAATTCTGAGGATTCTCATATAACAAAATACTATGTTATGCCAAAAATGATTATGCACATCAAACAGTTCCAGAATGTTACTTACTCTAAGGGCCGCTTTAATACCTAAAACATTATAATGCAAATTAAAGATGCCTATGTAACATTTTTGATGCTACAGATGTCAAAATTTCAAAATAATTACTACTGTTGACTTAAGTTTTCTACAAACAACATCTTTTTTCCACTGCATTCAATTTCACTAGAAATGTTGCAAGATCAGAAAACCATTAAATTCTACTCCCTATAAGGAAGGGTTCTGTTTATTATTGCATTCAAGTAACAGGAAGTCCCCTGATTTAAGATTCTACCTGAAGTGATCCTTGGGTTTGTCCACAGAGCCCTATGACTGATCTGATTAAAGAATCTGGCTGTTTGCACTAACATTATTAAAATACACCCTGCCTTTCTCCCCAGAAATAAACCAACAAAAACAATGATAAAAAACTCTATGAACACAACCCCCCCAGTATTTTTAGATTAAAGTTGCTTCCTCCTCCAATACAAAAACTGGCCATATATCTCTGAAGCATTCTGCAAATAATATAGAGAAAAATACTCTACTGACTAAGCACATGCCCATGTAGTATAAGATTATTTAAAAAAAACACTATTTAAAAAATTTCATATGATAATGCCCTAGATTAAAAGCTTTTGGGGATTAAGACATAGTTATGAAAATCAAGCTACTGAATTCCACTTGGGGAAGTTCTAGGCTTTACTCAATACTCTCAAGAATCAAGTGTTAAAAGAAAACTATTTTAATATTTTAAAAATATTTTAAAATTTAAATTTAAATGAAAAACTTAAAGTAGGTTTTTAAAGTTTTTTTTTATTTTAAATTTTACAGAATTTTTTAAAGAAACAAGACATTGAAGACCAGCCTTTGTCACAAATACTTTAAACTGAAGTAGTACTAAATGGCAGATTAGCATTCTGTTATGATTTAATATCTGGTTTTTCAATTAATTTCAATAGGTAAAATAAGGCCTATTTTTGTATTATTGTATTTCAAATAATTGATCTCAAAGCCTTTGCTAATAAAACTGGAGCCCCAAAAGACACTGCTGTTTCTTCACAGCACAAGCACACAGCGTTACAATTTAAGTGCCACAAAAAGAACTTCACAAAGCCAGTTGAAGTTGGCGTGGGGTGGAGTATAAAAAGAGAAACTCTATTGAAGAACACTGAGTTTATACTCATGTATTAGAGTTTATGAAACACCTTAAAAGAAACTTTAAGACTACAAATAGCTCAGAGGTTGTGCTGAGCAACACAGTACCACTGCCAGAGAAGCTATTCAGTTTACCATATAAACTTGTATCACTTAGAAACAAACTCCTATATATACTTTTCCAAAACTAGGGGCTAAAAAACTCATAAAAACTTACTTATAAAACCCCTTATTTTTGCCATTACAACTAACTTTGACCTTAAAAAAATCCCATCTTGCTTCTTACTATTAAAAATATTCATCCATTTCCTAGGCTATGTCTGTAGTAGATGAAATAATAAAACCTGGTTTTGTACATGAAGTACTTTCTCAGTCTGATCACAACCATCTAGAAGTAAAGTTCTGTTTTATTTACTTCAGTCTGAGAAACCACTATAAGGTTGTTATTGCAGGCAAAAACTGTATGTGATTTCTGTATATAAATCCTTGAATCATCCATCAGATTTACTACACCGAATTACCACAGACAGTTCTAAATAATAAAAACACACTGAAAATGTTTCAAATACATTCCAATTTTCTTTGCTTTCTTTCTATGATAAAAAATTATGGCATTACTGTGGTCATCGAAACAAGATGAAGTAAAACCACAGTTCTGCTCTTACCACACTATGGTACTTGCAACTCAAAATTTGAAAATAATGTTTTTCTTTATTTTTTTAACTTCGGGGAAATGCTCCATTTGTATTACAATAACAACATAACTGCAGCACAGTACCAAATTTAATGGGCCATTAAAAGTAAGAAATGCTATAACCAGGCTTCATACATTACCTCATCAGTCAACTTGTCTATTCTGTACAAGTTGGGATGTATCATCTTCATCAAATGAACAAGAGGCTGGCTCTTCATCTGGCACATTGCATAGACACGATCATCCAAGCGTGTACTTGTGCCTGTTCTGAAGGCTTTCTGCAAGAGAACATTACTACTCAAACAAATCCTGTACTTTATGTCACATGTAAGAGTGCATTTCAGACATTTCAAAGTGTCAAGCAAAGGTGGCAAAGCCTTTGTAAAGGAATATATCTTATTGGTAGGATCTTAATAATAGAGCTTGAGCAAAATGTTTTAAAACATAATCCAGCTCCTCCTCACTGACAAAGAACAATAAATTTCTCCCTCAGTTTGTCTAAAATTTGCACGCAACTCAGTCAGCATTTCTCATTTTTCTTCTTGACAAATGACACTGGCCTGTGAAACTCACCAGTGCAAACTGGCACAGGAAAGATACAAGACAAGCAGAGTTCAGGCAAGGCACATATGTGCACAAGATTAACTCTGAATTTATAGTAGTAAGAATTCAATGTTAAGGAAAAGTTTTGGAAAGGATCATGTTTTATAGGAGAGACTAGACTCTTACAGGATAAAATTTATTTTTTAACTCTCTCTACTGAATTTTTCAGATCTCCTTTAGAAACAACTGCTACACAATTGCTGTGAGAAGCAACACAATGAAATAAACCTCATATTCTAACTCAATGAAGAATGTTCCTATAATCAAAGTTCGTATTCACTTCTACAACAAAGCTAAGGACATCACTCATTCTTGGCTGCCACAAGCATTTTAATTTTGGTTTCTCTATATCCCACATTTTATTATTGTTAAGAAAGACAATAAAAATTCCAAACCTAAACAACTTTTCCCAGTCACTCTTTTTTCTGTCTTTTACACAACCTTGATAATAAATGGTCTGCTTTTTCCTCACCATTAACTGCATTTGTTATGAAAATATCAAAAGAATCATACTCAGTATATTAGAGACTGAAGTAATCACTATGCCAAATTATTATGCTTAGTTCTCTTATGAGAATTATATAAAGGTTTATTCACCAAAACCAAGAACTGTCAGACATGAAAACCTTTAAGCAATGAGATTTATTCATAACAAAACCCCGCAGGAAGCTTTCACTTTTTCAGTATGATGTTCAGTAATCTAAACAAAGATATTATTAAAAAAATAATAAAAAATAAAGTATTAACTACTTCTGTGTGAACTTTCAGCTATATCACTTGAGTTTTTATAAGGAATTTCACCGTATCTCCTTGGAAACTAATTTTTCTTCTTGGAACTTTAAAGTACAAAAAAATATGTATTGGAAAATACTTGTTTTTTCCTTCATAAAATAAAAATGAAGCACTAATAAGCAGCTTCCAACAACCTTTATGAGCTACACTAATGAGCTGCCAAAATCTGAGAAATGTTAATTTAAGTTATATATTTATTTTCATTGTAAAGCAACGTAAGACAAAACATAAGGAATTCAAAATCAAGTAAACTAATAAATGGTTCAGACATTAACAATTTAAAATAAACTACTATATCATCTTATAAAATAAATCCAATTTCCATATTTTTAGAGACGTGCAGACATTGCCTGACCAAGAACAGAAGAATTCCTCAAACAGAACAATGAACTCAACATCAAACACTAATCCACTAGATCATACATACCTGTTTGAGAAGAGCCAAGATATAGAGTGGGAAAAGCTTGAGGGAATTTGGTGCTATCAGCATGGACTGCTGCAGATTTGAGGCAGTTGACATGTATGCTGACAAGGAGTCCACCACGGCATTGACTAAGGCATCTCTTGCATCTGCAAGGCTGGATGAAACTGAGCGATCCACAGCTGCAGGGGTACAAGGAGGGAAGAAGTTACTCATTCCCTTGAACTTTGAAAATTTGCGTTGTGCTTCCAGGTTATGTTTTAAGACTAAAAAATCCCCCAAACCACATCTGCAGTACTAATGCTTTTAAGGAGTAAATAGATGACTGTCAATACAGAAACTCACTTTCATAATGCTCAAAGATATAGTGATATAATTTTGTACTCTTGGAGAATTAAAAGAAATTTTTAAAGCAGTCATACATATTGAAGTCTAAATATAAATTTAAACCTTATACAAACAACTTAGCTGCTGTTGAAAAGCTGTCCCCCAACCACCAAGATAAAATTTGCAGCAATTATTTTTGGTTCCCCCCCCACCAAGAAATTTCTTCCATTACTTCAGTGGCATAATTGTGATTACTGTAAATGCAGCTTCATCCTTCTCTGCTGAGCAAGGGCTGCAAATCCTTTGGTTGGAGGAAGCCACCTGCTGGACTGAGTGTGCATTTAAGAGGAGATCACAGAATGGCTTGGGTTGGAAGGAACCTTAAAGATCAGCTAGTTTCAATCCCAAAAGACACAGAATTACAACTCCCTTCTTCTAACTGATTTCAATATTAATATACAATATACCACGTGCTAAAATGCTGCACAGAGTCATACACATTTAGCAGGAGAGATTAGTCTATGAAACAGCTACTTATGACCCACAATTAAGGGATAAGTAAGAATCCTCAAACCTGCAACAACAGAAGGATAGAAAACCAAGACCTGTTATCAGAAATTCCCTTTAAGTCTCCAGCAACTCACTAAACTTAATCACTGTTTCTTAAGTAATCCTAGAATGCTAAAGTTTGAGTGAATAACGGTTCCTCTGTTGTTCACATAACAACACAGGAACATCACAGGAACAATGACAGCAATGATACAAAAATGAGAGTTTTGATCCAAGTATGTTATGATTCTTTGTCCTTTACTAACCACCAGAGAACAAAGAAGGCTGCTTTTAAAAGACTGAAGTCAACTAAGTATTCAGAACAAGAAGTATTTCTGTTCACAGTTTCAGTATAAATTTGGTTTTGTCATCTTTTGCACACACAGGCTTCAGTGTGTTGCACTCCAACTTTTTTTAATAATATCCAGGCTTCGTTCACTACTACATTTAAATGGCTGTCAGAATTAGGAATATGCCAAAAAACATGTGAATCTTCCTGGCCTGTACTCACCCATGTTTGCTAAGAGGCACACAACTGCTTGTACATCTGCTCCTGCATACACATCAGTCAGGGAACTCACTACAGGCAAGCAAAGTGTGTGCACTCGAATTCGACGCTCACCTATGAGAAATCAGTGGAAATCATTACGCATTCTCTCCTGGCAGAAGTAAACAAATTCAATCATTACAGCATCACCTCCCATCTAAGAGACATCCATTCTAGAAAACATACCAGAAAAGAAACTGCTGCAACACTGTCTCCCATTTCTGTCTCAACCTGTTAAAATTCTACTTGATAACACAAACTAGCAATACCCAAAATAAGAGTCTTTGATCCTACAAGTGAAGTACATTGGTAACCATCCCAAAATTTTGTGGTATCTGCTACCATAGAAATTAGCTGCTATTCTTTATGCTCACCCAGTGTAGTAATTGCAGCTTGATCCAATCCATCACAGGTCTGTGTGTTTGGACAAACTGCCTGCCAAACATATTACTGCTTGTAACAATGGCCAGACTTTTAATAAAAAAGTCTTGCTGAATCAGCACTATGTCAAATGCAGATGAAATTGTCACATTAAAACACTGTTTATAAGGATTTCCATTATCTGATTAACTGCCTAGTAGGATTACTACCTTACTAGCTCTGACAAGATTCTTTTAGGGTATAGGGCACAACAAAAGGCTGTGGAACTAACTTTGCAAACACTACACAATAAAAAGAAACAAAAAGCCCACTGACTAATTAATTTAAATTTATTTACCTTTACTGGAAGTATACAAAAGAGCTGTTTGAAAACAAACTAAAGATGTGTCAGTCAGACTTTCCTCTATGGACATTTGTACTGCAAATCCAGCATCAGGATTGACATTGGCAAGGGACAGTAAATCAGTAGATCGTACAAAAAAATTCCCATGGAAAGTGTGTATTGAAAGACCTAGAAGCAGATTGAATAATTCAGAGTGAGTTTAAAACAGCATGGAAAACTCTCACCAATAACTAAAAACCCAGCCCTCAAGCTAAGGTTGAAGAAAATAGAAAAAATTCTATCATGTAGAACCAATTACATGAATCATTAGACATTACAGCATTATCCTGTAGAGTTCATGTTCAATTCTGAACACTCCAAAATTAATGATGCCCATACACTACACATGTCAACTTACAGACAGATGGTACCATCAACTAAAAAACAAAACAAAAAATCAAACACCAAAAGCTAACAGCATAAAGAAGGTAGCTGTTTTACTTTTCAAAGAAAGAAAAATAACATTCAATGTAATGTTGCTAAAGACTAAGTGTATTGAAAATGATTGCTAACACACGTACATCTATCATTGCATACGTATCAGTATTTAAGACACACCTTTTGTACATCTTATGCGCATAACTGCTTCAAATCCAATCTTTCTTGTCAGGTATCTTTTCAGGTCTTTTTGCAACTTTTCAGCCTGAGCAGGATTATGGCTGTGATGGAAAGATGGGTAGTAATAGATGCATCCAGCAGAATACTTGGACATGCAAGCTTTGAAGAAAGAAAAGATACAGTCAAGAAGTAAAACTGTAACATGAAATAAGGACATAAAAACTGTGTCTAGACTTCCACAAGCCACATATCTGTTCATCTTCTCAATATCCCCCACCTCAGTAAGACAATGAGAACTGTCCCAGACCAGGCAAGTGAAGATAAAAATGAATCACCCCAACACATAATGACCTAATTATACACCAAGCTCAATAAGCATCCTACATTTGGCAGCTAAGATTGAAGTGCTTGCAGAAATATCTAATGGTGTAGAGATAAAATTAAGTGTATGTACAGAGACAAATCTTGGATAATTATTAAAAGATGAAAACTCTGTTCCACCCCTATAATTAAACTTCATTTATTCCTTGCCACATTTCTGTTTCCTGTTCCTTTAGCGGAATACTTCTCATTTAAAACTTTGAAATCATAGAATAAATTGTCTGATACGATCAATTTCTGTTCTTTACTTCCATCAACTTCAAGGTCAATTCCTTTGCAAAATGAGGTGCAATAATAGAAGTGCTAAAATATTTACATGACTTAAGAATTCTTGAGGTAGCTTGTGCTTCTGAAGAGAGAAAACAGTGCAGAAAGAGAGAATCAGGTACTCCTTACCAAGAGAAGCTAGATCAGAATATTGTGAACTTAAGAGAAATAAATCCACAGCAGTCTGCTGGCCAGAGCAGTCCAATGCCAACTTCTTATAAAAGTCTGTTGCTGGACCAAGATGCTGGACCACCTATAGTAAATAAATCATAGAGGGAGAAGTTATGACAACAATCATCCATTTTGGAGTTCATGGAACAAAAGACATACTATTCAGCAGCATCTGAGTTAACTGAGTCACAAATATTTGCAGCTTCTTTTGCTTGCCAAGAAAAATTATGGACTAAAAGCCAAAGACAGCTCATGCACTTCAAAACAAGTAATGCCACACATACATGTATAAAGTAGGGATCTTAAATGCATAAACATCGATATTATTAAAATTTAGTTAATAGCTGTAAATGAAGATGAAGCAATTCATCTGAAGAACTATACAAGTCAGAAGGACATGGCCAGTCCTTAGTCTTTTGAAATAAATAGTAAGGGAAGTTTTTTACCTTTGTGCTTGACCTTTGATTGGGATCCTCTCTGGAATGCAAAAGCCCTGCTCCCAAAGACGGTAACTGTGTTTGAAACACAGAGATCCGACCACCCGTTGGAGACATCAGTTTAAATGCAGCCTGAAGAGCAGGGCCCAATGCACTGTGTGTTTCTCTTGTATTGGTGAACATATTTGGTAATGCATTCAATAGATCTTTTATCAGCTGCAGAACAGATTGAAAGGTGTTTTATGAGATTCTGCAAGCTTGAGATTTTCTGTTGTTTCAAAAAAGCTGTACTGCCATGACTGAAGTGGCAGAATCAGTACCAAGTATTTCAGTTCTGTTTTAACACACTAAGTAAAACAAAGTTGTAATTTTAAAAGCTATGATGCAACAATGAAACATGTCTTCCAAAATGAAAAATTTGCATTGGAACTACATATTATGAAGATTAAGTTTGAATTCAAAATTTAACAGGAACATCTGTTTTGAATATTTAAAACCTTGAATTTAATGATATATTTTGAGCAATCATACCTCTTTGCTTTCATGGAGATTTACAAGTAAACTATCTGGTGTAGGTAGGAAAATATCTGTGGAGAGAATAGAAAAAAAAATGTATTAAAGAAAAATGTAACACTAAAATAGAACAAAACATTTCATTGCCCACTGCTACAAACACCATGAAATAGTCTACTTTTCTAATGTGTGTGTTACAGCTAAATATTCCTTGCAGTTAAATAATTATACACAGATACAGGTGTGTTAGAGTAATACAGTCCGTACAAATATTTTCTGATTCAAAGCAAAATTAATTATTGAATTTCATGTTTTAAACATCATCTACTCTGCAGTTAGTGCAAGACTATTTTTCAAAAGAATATTCTCATTCAATAACATTGACCTAATACCAAATAGTTGAGAGATTCTAACCTTTGTTCTGGGAAAAAAAAAAATAGGTTCTCAAAAATTCAGCTTCCATTTTCTTTTTACTTACCATCAATATCTGAGACAATCAGCATCTGAGGCTGTGATAAACCTTCTTGCAAGTTGTAAAACTGAACAGTGCTGTCAAACGTTATGAACCCTATTCTTGTTCTTGAATCTCCAGGCAGCCTGAAGCATTAAAAAATAAACTATTAAGCCCTAAATCTCTCTCTCAAGACACATAGATACTCAGGGCTCCTGCTGATGTTAGAAGAAACTCAGTTCATATGTAAAGAAGTGAAGAGAGAACAGAAGAAGGGAGATCTGAAACATGAATACAATCAGTATTTCCTCAACATTTTCTGAAAAGCTGGGGTAATGATACAGTTTCTAGGACCAAGTGTTACAGATAAGCACTCACTAATATATTGATGCTTTGTTTCACAAGAGAGCTTAGTAAGTTCATTTCAACATTAAACTGACACATGAAAGAGGACAGCTTTCTCAGTTTTTAATAGAAAACAGTGCATTCTGCCCTTTCCTAATTCAGAACCTCAATTTACTAATGTAGTTACAGAGTACTTACAGTTCTAAACCAAAGTCCAATGTTTCTACAACACCACATATTTATTTCTTATGTGGACGATATTTCTGTGTACGGCATAATACAAAACTAAAGACTACATGGGATTTCTCAAGTAAAATATAAAAAATATCATGGAGTGCTGAAAACCATGACAGTGACCAAGACATTAGAGGCAAATACTGCCGTTACCATCTAGGTATCATAAATGGCACAGATTTTGCTGTGGAGATAGCATGGGATTTTATGCATTTTCCTAAAATAATTAAGCATGTTTCTGAGATTCTGTTGACAAAATAGTCACAAAAACCCTGAACAAAGAAAGATCGAACCAAAAAATGAAAACACATATTTTTAATGTATATGTTGGCCTCTTCATGAAAAAACCAAGTTCAATAAAAAAAACTTGCAGAAAGGAATTTTCAAGGCAAGGCCTCCAAAGTATTAGTTGTCAAAAGGCATGAACACAGTGAAGCTCATTAACCCTCACTCAAAATGCACCAGGAACAATCCCATACACACTGTCCCAGTGCAAAAATAAAAACACAGAAACTGGCACAGGATAACTGTGATCTAAAAAATCCAAAATGACAACATATTCACCCAGTCAGTCTTACTCTCATGGTTAAAATGTTCCAGTTTGCAGCATCTCAGACCTTTCAGCACAAGAACCAGGTAATGTAGCCATTGTAATTTATTATTTTTGTTGGTCTCGCCAAGAGGGAAAAATGAAATTTAAGAATCTCTGTACAATCAACATGTTGTTAGCAATTACAGCTAAATACTCCTTGCAGATAAGAAATTATATGCAGATACACATGTAGGGAAGGAATTCCAGGCAAAGGAACTTCTGCCCTTTAGGGATAGAATGTTTAGACATTTTGAAATTTCCTTCAAAATTTTCAGTTACAATTTTTCCTAACAACATATTAGCTGATTTGAAAAGGTTATTTATACTCTTACTTGTCTAGGTTTTCCAGCAATGACTGGCAGAGTATTGTCAAATATCCAGACTCCACTGCATTATGAGACACATCTAAAACAAATAAATATACCGCAGGCTGAGGAGGACGAAGCTACAAAGTAAAAAAAAATAAAAACACTCAAAAATCATATTCAAAGAAATGTTAAAGGTGATTAATCATTAGAAAGGGAAGTAGGAAAAGTGGATACTTAGAAAAATGCAAGGTATACATTATGCAATAAAGGTAATTTACTAAGCAATATGCAGAAGGACTTAACTACAACCCCCAGTGGTTAATAACTGCCATTTGTAATAAATATAAAGTGTTACACTTCAGGGGGAAAAAAAGGATATTTCAGTCTCTCCTTCCAGCAGTCAATTCAAACATGATGAGGGATACTGACTTCCATCTTTTAAATTCCATTGTTCTTTCAGTACAGGGACAATGTGATCCATGAAACAGGGCTAAAGCATTCTACCTACCCGTTTCCCCCAATTATGTACCAAGCTGTTTATTCACTGTAAAATGTCTGCCACAATGTTTCAATTCAAAGACAAGAGAACAATTTATTTTTGCTGTTTCTTTAATGTCATTATGAAGTAGGCCTTTTTGCAGGCAGACAAGACCACCATCCCAGCAATTGTAAGTTGACTACTAATAAGACCCATTTCTTCACAATTACTAACTAGAAATTTGAAGCTAAATTAATTTGCTCATTATTCTATTACTGGTCTTTCAAAATGTCCTCAAAATGAGGGAGAAAGGCATAAACCACACTGCATCGGATTAACATCTGACTGTGCCACATTAAACTACACTGAATGACAACACACACTGAATTACTTTTAACTCAAAAGCTTCTGTTTACATCAGCCAAAACTCAAAACATGAATTTAACTATTCTTTGGTGTTAAGAGGAGCTTCACAGAAAAATTAATACACACCAGTGGATCGATATGAAACATTAATTTCAAGACTATTATATTAATATACAATTGCTGATGAAGTTACTATGAAAACCTTTTCTTACCATATAGTCTGAAGAAGCAATGAATTCCACTGTAGAATTTTGCACCTCTGGCCGTTTGTGAGGCTCTCCATAAGACCGTGTCAGAGGATTATACATAAATTCTTCAGGAACTATTAAAAAAAATAATTACGCCCAAATACAGATTATATTTTTGCAAGAAAATAAAAACCATTATTGCAGCTAAATGCAAAGTAATGTGGGCACACTTCAATTATTGCAATAGCAAAAAATTTACATTAAAGATACATAAAAAAGGAACATTTAAAATATCTCAAGCATATCTTTAACATCAAAGTTCAATCAGCAATTGGAAAGAAAAATTATATATTTTAAACAACAACAGATCCCCAGCTATAAAATAGCAATGCAAGTAGAGCATTTCACAACAAGCAGCAGTCTGTACTGTTACTCACAGGCTCTGGCCTGGATTGTAGCTATCATCATGTTTCCATTTGCATATTGCAACAGCAGTCAGTAGGATTAGCTGATTTCATTAGACAAGGAATCAGCATATTATGAATACATTTTCTTCACGTCCACAAAGATTGCAAAACAATCTTTTGCTTAAAGAAAAAGTGCAACACATCTGCCTTAAGATGTTTTTCAAAATTTCTGGACATTGCCACTGTACTTTATGTTTTAATCTAAAATATCCAAAGGACTGATACAATGCAAATACTTGAAAGATATTCTATAAATAGAAGCATCTCCTGCTCCAGTCACTTACCATCATTAACTCTATAGCACAGGTTGCATTTCCACCGCCTTTGATCGATGAAAGAAACAAAAGGGTTGATGTACGTCCTGCAGGATCTGCATCTCACTATTGTACTTGATGTTATCACTGGCAATTGCTAAAAAGGAAACGATGAAAAGCTGTCACAAAGGTAGGTAATATACTTTATGGAAATCATCTCTGTGCAGTACAGTTCATAAAAGCTTTCTAATGCTTCATTTTCTATCATCTTTCTTTTTAGCTGTTTAGTTCAATTTCATAGAGTAATTATGATGTCTATTAAAAAACAATCTCCCAAAAAAAAATAGCACTTAATTATTTTCTTAATATAGTCTCAAAATCAAAGATGTAGTAGGATATTAAATAAGACTACTTTAAATTACAGCTACTATGGCAAAAGGAATTATGAAAGGACAACTTTTGAGTGACTCTACAAGAAATATGATAGACAGCAAATCTTACACAAAGAACACACAATTAATAAAAAAAAGTTATACCAGACAGTTATTTACATTTTTAAATAAATGCTAATAAATTACATTGAGAGGAGTTGCTTAACATGAATGAATGAAGCTTATGAATATAGCTTGAATCTTATATTGTGTTTATGTTCCACTGACAGCAAGATTCAGGCCAATCACACATTCAAACCAAGCACCACCCTTCAGGAGAGCTCTGTGAAGACCTTTTCAAGATGTATCTGACAGTTGTGAGCCCAACACCTAGAGCAGCAATTTTTTGGAGAACCACAGGCAAGCAAGGACTTCCAACAACAAAAAATAAACTTGAAGGGCTTATGCATTTCAATGAAGTGGCAATTTCAAGGCTGTTTTTGCTCTCCTCCTCTCTAAGTCACAGACATTTTTTTATACTTCTGTTAAACTTAGGACTTAGAGTTCATTATATTTCATTGTTTGAATGAAAACAGAACAAATGCATATTTAAACAAAAACACACACACAAAAAAGTAAGGTACTTTACCGTCAGATCCCTGAAGGGATGAAGCAACAAACCCAAAGGAAGCTTAGCTTTGTTTAACAAAGCCTGTGTCTGTGGAATATTTGTCAATGTACATCGAAATGAGCTGAAAGAAAGTAGAAACATTATGTTAAAAATGAAATTTTAGAAGATGCTGAAAACATTGTTTTAACACCTGATTTTAAAGAACTTTAAAATTTAAGAAATCCTATATTTTACAAAGATGATTTGATTTTAAAGATGCAGAGATTTTTAAAAAGGCTTCATAAAGAAACAAACAAACAAAAAAAAATACTCCCCTGCTCCACAGTTTAGGAGTTCAGTAATGCAAGTATACCAAAATAAACTTGCAATTAAGAGACAGAACTGTTTTAGATTTTTTTAGAACTGTTTTCTGTTCACTATACAGATTTTTCCAGTGAACCAAGAGAATATTTAAGTAGTACTCAGAATGTCATCATTTATATAAGAAAACAATAGAAAAGGATCCCAAATACTGAGAGAGTCAAAACCTTTTGTTCTGTGTAACATGAAGGGACACTAAAAAACCCCAGTGCACAAATAGTGCTGTCAAAAGTGTTCCACATGTAAGAATGATTTCCACGCCTTCAGTTTTCTGATTTCTGTTTTCTGGTGGGACCATGCACTGCCACTACAGGAATAAGGATTCTGAGTCACTTTGGGGCAATGAAGAATACTTATTTTGGAATTACAAATAAAATCTTTGGGGAAAAGCCCTTTCCACTGTACTTAGCTGTGCTTGACTTGGGATAGTTGATAATACTACTTAATGTTAATTAGAGGTACATGAATACATGATTGAAGAATTATCATAGTAAAATATACTCATAAATTATTAAGTATATTCAGGCATAATCATAATACTTTTGTGGAAAAAATCTTACGCAATATCACAAAATATTCTATGAAACATTGTGTAGCATTAAGGTGCTTATAAAAATACTTTTTTAAATGGTTAAAACAAGGTGAAGATATAGAAAAATTATTAAAATACTAAGAAACTAGCTACACTCACTGTATAAAATAAATTCTGATGGTAGGACAGTTACAATATTTGTGTAATGATTCAGAGAATAAACTTGTTTTCAGTAAAAAGGGGTTTTATTAGTTCATCACTAAGATTCAAAGTTGGGAGTCAGCTGAGACACTTTTTGAAATTTTAAATAATTATTGCCTACTAAAAAATATAAGATACTGCCCTAGACACAGCAAACTTACTCTGGACTGCAGTTTAATTTCCTAAGATCAGAATTCAAGTTAGGCACAGGTGCTGGAACTGAAGATACCGGTAAAATATTTCTATCATGTGTAAGGTTTACTGGTCTCAAGCTTTCTGGCTGCTGAGAATGCTGTAGACTTAATCCTCCTAAGGAAGAGGACAGCTGGTTCACACCTGGATATTGCTGTAAAGTTAAAGCATGACAAACAGGTAAACACACCATTATGTTTAAATGACAGCCTTCAATCTTCCTGTAGTGCCCTCCCTTCCAGACACGTATTAAAAAAGGATATAGCAGCAATTAGTAACAAACCCAAACAAACAAAAGGAGTGCTGTACTGTACAAATTTAAAAATGCTACAACAAATGTGACACACATTCCAAAGGTGCATCATAGGATAAAATTCAAATTCATTATGCAAATCAACGCTGGAAGTCACACATAATCCTTCAATCTCTCCAGGCATAAGAAAACAAGTACTAAAAAGGCCGACACAATTTCTCTCACAATTGCTCTGCAATTTAACTTTTGTTACAATCAACTTTTCCAAGTTACAGACACTGACTTAAAATATTTATTTTTAAATTAAAACAAAACACCATAGAAGAGGAGAAAAGGTTAGGTTGGAAGGCACCTTTGAGGTCTGGTAGTCTAACCCTTTGCTCATTTAGAAGTTAGTTTAGGTTGCTCAAATAGATTCATCTAGCTAAGTTTTCAAGGACTGAGAACTTCACAACACAATCTGTTCTAGTGCTTCCCCACTCCCATCCTGAAGCATTTTCTCCTTATATGTCCAACCTTTATTCACTTGAAGCAACTGCTGTTCTTTTACTGTGTGCTTCTGAAAGACCCTAACTTCATCTCATATTACAGTAAAGATGAAGCCAACACTTTCAATTAAAAAGAAAAAATTAAATGAAACATTTCTTCCAAGCCATATTTCACATCATGCCTGTGATCGTGAAAGCCTTACTGGATGTTACATGCAGTAAGGAATTTTGATCACCTACCACAGCAGTTTCACTGTCTTTGCCATCTGGCCCTTACTTCAGAGAGCAGGATTTGCATATCAGCACATTTCTTTTTCTAGACCCCTTCGCACATACATTCCTCTGCACTTCTTCAGCATTTGTGTCTTGCCTCAGTACGTGGCTCTTTTTCTGCCACTGTTCTCTAGGGATTCACATGTACAACAGCAATCAGGTGATTGTACAGAATTTCTTAGGAGTTTGGAGCTATCTTTATGAGGAAGACAGAGCAGATGCAGGCAGCCTGCTCCACTACACACAGCCAGCACAAGCTCTACTAGCTCTTTTATCTGGACCCTAGGCCATGCTATGCCTTATGACCTTGCTCATAAGATCATTTAATGCTTGAGATCACAGCCAATAGCAATGCCCTAATATATATTGATCAAATACTTCTTTATGTTTCCTCATTGTTCCCTATAAAGTTCAGTTCTTTCAAACATCAAACCTTAACAGTGTGGAGTTTGCTAACAACTGGTGAACCAAACTTGTTAAGCCTAATTACTTGGAGGCACACTTAGAACTTTCATTCAAAAGCCTTCCAGTAAGTTTAAAACCAGACATGAATATGACATCAATATTATATCTAATGTTTATTGTCTCAGAAACTATAAAAATATGAAAGATGAAAATAAGGGGGAAATATATCACACAGAAACGGGTTTTCGCATGAATTTACTTAATGAAGTTAATTTTAAATTAAGAATACAAACCTGTGCATAGTGCTGAAAACCAGAATGGTGTCCTGGATTACTGGGCTGCACAGGAGTAGGTGGTGTTGCATTTTGGTAGCCTGGCTGCAGTGCTGGATATCCATAACCAAAGGGCTTAGAAGCTTTTGATGTTTGGACGACTGATGGAGAGGGAACTGGACTGCCAGTCACAGAACGTGTCTCTGGAAAGACAAAAGAAATGCCACAGGTATTGAATATACTTATTATTTCCTTATTAATTTAAATGTAAACTCCTAAATTCTTCAAAACAACATTGCCATTCATAAGTTTTTTCATTATCCATCAAGTTATTTTTGTGCACTTAAAAAAGGAATTAAAAAGAAAGATTACTTCAAGAGTTTTGACAAAATGTGTACGGTAGATGACCAGAGACTCGTGTCACTACAAACAAAATGTTACTTTACAAAAAGAGGCAACTTGAAAAAAACACGTTTGAATTGAATAAAAATAGAACCACATTTTATTCCAATATATACATTTGATATAAACCACAAACAAGACCATTCATGCTTAGTCTCCCCTCTGCCACTTCTTGAAACTGTCATAGCATGACTAGAATCATTCCATGATTCTACAATGACTTCGTAGAAGTCATGGAAAACCATGCCTACAGTTAGAGAAGAGCTGCATTGGTTTAGCCTTATGTTTTGACAGTATTCATAAATGGTAGAGGAGAAATAAAGCATGCTCTCTTTTGAAGCTTTAACCCAACGCAAGTTTCTCTTGTATACACCTGCAGCACAGCTTAGTTCAGCTATTTTTCAAGTTCAAACTGAAAGTAAGACATAGACCTAAATCCACAGTGAACTTAACAGCTGTAGAGATCAAAGTACTCTTTTGAAATGTCTACAGATGTGAGCTAAGTTTCAGAAGAATTTAAGCTTGGTGAAGTCAACTGGGAAAAGTACAAGCAAAGGAACAAAGCACTCAAGAAACCAACTGCCAATAAACTATGTTTGTCATGAACACTCCATGAGGGAAAAACCCCAGTAAAACAATAAAAGAACTGCAACAGATTCAAGTAGCCTAATGTTGACTCTGTTTATCTTAAAAAAATAAAAGGAACAAGTTACTTTAAGAATATGCTTTCAGCAGAACCAAAATTGTTAGTTATTAGGCCAGAGGGTATAGAATTCATAGTCCTGCTAGACTCTATGTGGATAACAATACCAGCTTTCTAACTGAGAGAGCTCTCACTTTAATCACGAACCCATCAAACTATGGCAAACTACTGTGACACTCCCAGGGACCAGAACAAGACAAAGGAGCCAGGAGGGCCTCCAAATTAATCCAATTATTAATTTAAAATACTGGTTAAAATACTCTGAATAGCATATTTTCCACTTGCTCTCAAAATGGCAGCTCTACAGATTTCAAGACCAAGTAAGCCAATAAGTTAATTTAGAACCAACCTGACAGTCCTGATATTTTTACAGCTAAGAGTAAGCAAAAGAGCAGCCATTTTCTTTAAATGAAGAAAAATTCAAGACAATAACCTGATCCAAGCATCTCTGCAAGCTGATACTGTTGGTCTCCCAAAACTTCTGTGATGTGTCAGCAACTATTATCAGCTCCTAATGTCAACAACACAATCAGGCATACAGTATAATCTAGGAAAAAGATGCAGCTTTCACACTTAGCGTATTTTCAGCACTACCCTCAATACTACAATGGAAAGTATGACTTATGATTCAGGGAAGTTTTATTAAATGGTTATGTGAACTTCAGTGTTAAAACTGTGAGAAATTATTTAAAAAGACATGTATATTTCCTCTGTTCCTTTCATAGGCACTGGCTTTCATCTACTTGCTGATTAACAATGAACACCAGAAACAATAAAAAACCACATTTATGTCCTTGAATAAGTAATTAAAAACAAACTGCTTACCTGGATAGCCACCTCCTTCCAGAGCATCATAATTGTTCAGAACAGGAGAGGCACTGCTTGTAGTAGAGGAACTATCAAGTGCTGGGGGAGGAAAATAGTTTAACTTTAGGGATATCAAAATTAGCAAACTTTTGATTAATAAAAGACTGAAATTTTTTTTTTCCTAAAATCTTTGATAAGAAACTGTCAAGAAAGATCCTGGGAAAAAACCCCACCACTTCAGCCCTAAGACTTGAAAACTATTACTACTGTAAAGAGGAGAGGAAGAAAGTAAAATCAGCAAGATACTAAAAACAAACAAGCACATGCCAACAAACAGCAAGAGAGATCAATGGGAAAAAGACAAAAACAATGAAGGAAGTTGCTTCTTGAAATAAAAAATAATTTTCTATTAAACCAAAAGTTCTTTCTAGACTATATCAACTGAGGCCATGCACATTTTAAAAACAGTCCATTCACAACTTTCTTCACAACTGCAAGCAACAGAAGATTCCCATCATCTTCAGAATGATTATCCACCTTCAAGCCAAACTAACAAAGATTTAATTCTTCCCTCCTTTCTGTATCATTCTAATTAACAGCTAGCTTTCCTCTCAGTCTAAAGTTTCTATTTTCCATTATCATTGACAAGAGTCTGAACTTCAGTCAATGTAAACAATTATTCTTAGCTCAGCCTAAAGTAGCTAAGTAAAAAGCAACTATGTAAAATTAAGTACCAAAAGTTAAGTAGGCAGATGTAAAAAAGCACAATGAGCACATACATAGCTGTTAGGATTGAAGAGACTCGATTGCTTAATTTTTAGTTCAACCTATGTATACACCTTGAATATCTTATTTAAAACATCTGTCAAACAAAGAATTATTTTAAAACATCTCTTCCAACATGATTTCACGCACATTTATTTCATTATTATTATAATGAAAAAAGGGCCAAGAAGATTAAATGTATGCTCTCTTTAAAACACACCAAGTCATGAAGTGTGATAGAAAAAAGTGTCTAAAAATAGAGAAAAAAAAAAAAAAAAAAGAAAATTGTATATATAATTTTTGTGGCAGAAAAGACTGAAAAGATTCACTAATACTGTTCTACTTGGAAGGATCAACCATGACCACGCATCCCATTGCAAAGCTGAAAGTATTTCAAGGGAAAACTTCAATGGAACATGGTGAAACATTTGAGACTTCCAAGTGAAGAGACTCTGCATATGGAAACACGACACCACTGACATTTGGGACACAGAAATACCATGGCACAACCCTGTCAGTACAGATAATTATTGAGCATTTTGCCTTTAAAGCATTCAACTAAGAAATACAAAATCTATTTATAAAATCCGTAAGACTAACAATAATATATTATTTAAAGGAAAATTTAATTCTGTGACATTCATACAATCTTAGATTTCAGATTTTCACTGTAAATTTTCTTTTTTTTTTTTTTAATCCTGGAGGTTGCTAAAGAACATAATTGCAAGATTTTATTTTCTGTTCTATAGAAACATATTCTGATTGAAGGAATCAAGATTCATGACTTTTTTTACTTTGATCAGGATTAGGGCTTTTAAAGCTTTTTTAAGTCTTACTACAGAAAAGTAAAAATACACTTTTGTTAGGTCAACAAAACAGTTGACAAGTTACATGAACACAACCACATTTCCAGCACCTGTTCTTCATAAAACCACTGTGACAGTCCAAGCCAGAAATTTGTCTGCTGAGATCTGTTAAGGATTTTCATTAGTTCCTGCTGACAGGGCATAAATCAGTATGCTGCTAATTAATCATACAGCCTCCATATGGAACCTGGGTGCCCTTTCACTCTTTCCCATAACATAAATTTAAATGCAATGATACCTCCAAGGCTACAGGTTTTAGTGAAGTACACAACTTGAGACAGAATGATGGTACGGAGTATGAAACTTTGTTTAGGGAACAAGGTAAGGAGAAAAAGGTTACAATTGATAAAAAACCCAATCAACATCATTTGGACAGAAACTTGGCAGGCAAACCCAACACACTTTTCTTAATTATGACCTGGATGTCACCATTGCTTTGTTCCATTCTTCGCAGAATTATTATCAGTATATATACTGAAAATAATTAAATATTGACAAATATTATCAGTACGCTAAACTATTTTCACAGTATTCTAGACGATAATTTAATTATTTTAATAAAACTGGCACTGTTTTTTTTTTCTGACAACGTGTATCATAAAATTAAAGAAAATGCTACAATAGTTTCCTATTCCCAACCAATACTAAAAGCCAGCAGTACAAGGTATGTGCTGTTACTTCCACCTATCAACAAGGGTAGCAGTCTCATGTTTATCTCAAAGAAGCTTTTATGCTGTTACCACTCATGCAGTCAGTAAAGGCTTCTTTAGTTCCAAAAGAAAAGGTTACCAAAATTGAATAAACTAAACTGGTGAGAAACACTAAACTTACAAAACCAGGTCTTTCTGACAAAACAGGCAAAATGCAACCAAGTATGTAACACTTTAACCAGTCAGGACAAACTGCTTCTTAAAAATGAAAAATCAACAAACTTTTAAAGTTTTCTGCAAAACAAGCAGATTAAAAGTGAACCTATGAGCCTGACCATTGAGACATACACCTTTAGAAGGAGAAGAAAATCAGCACAGATTAATTTACTGTCCTAAAAAGCACACTCACAACCTCTCAATGTTTACTACCTTAATTGTATGAGTTCCTTATGCATAAAATGAGAAACAAGGTAAACACTGTTTAACTAATGATACAAATGCCATCTGGTATCTTAACCTGAACAATTAATCAGTATAAGTTCTACTGCTAGCTATCTTCAGTTAAAATTCAGTGCAAATCAAAATACTAAAAATATGGGAGTCTTGCAAGTTGTAAATATTACTTTGTTAGATTCATAAAACATCTGATATTAACGTGACAAAAAAAGGACCTATTTATTGGTCACTACTGAAGTTATTTTTGTTTACTAGTAACAGCTAGGAAATTTCAAGCTGAAGAGTCAGGGTGATGCTTTGTATTAAAGGAAGAAAAAGTTTCAGGGGATGGAAATATGGGGAAAACCTTAAGTAGAAAGATAACAAGATACTGGTGTAAAGCTAAAGCCAACCTGCTTCCTCATCCTCCTCATCCTCTTCCTCATCATCTGAACTTGATGACAAGGGAGCTGGTGCAGAGCTAGCTTGATTATTAACATATCCACCATACTGCATGCCTGTGAATTGGAAAGCACAAACATCAGAGTCAAACAGACAGGAAAGACGAGAAACGGAAGTCACAAATCATTGCATTAAAAGTGAGAAAAATCAGCTGTTCCAGAAAAAATCCCAGCATGCAGCAAGTTAAATCTACAACCCTAGAAGCAGTTTTTAGTGGGCTAGGTCAGTAAAATATTAGTAGCACATGGAAGTTAGCAGATCATTTTATATTTGTGTATGTGCATGTGTATCAGGAAATTAAACACACAGACTTCCTACCTATCTTTTTAATACCAGTTTATCCAGTGGAATACTTTTATAAATTAATACACTGAAATAAAGGCATTATTTCCACATAAATTCAAATTATGTTATGAAAACTTTTAGTATTAACTTTTGCTTGGCATACCTCTTCCTTTTAAGACAAGAATAATTCGTGTTGGAATTCTGCCAGAAATGAATGAAATATAACTGCTGTTGCCACACACAAGAGTACAAATACATATAAAAAGAGCACAACACAATCAGTGAAATTAAAGCTAGGTAAACCTGAAAATTTGGGTTGTCTTATGTTTACACAAGTACCTAAATTTGTGCTCATAAGCCTGTGATTACACCATGCACTTCTAGTATCTGGTGACAATGCGGCAACTGTTACTGCTGTCACCTCCACAGCACAACCTATTAGGGTTTTTTTAGGTTTTTTGTTTGCTTTTACAGTATCTACTCTAAACATATGTGTGTAATACAGAAAGGCAACACAAACATACCACTTCAAAACAGAGTAAAGCATGCAGCAATGGCTTATAATTAAATTCCTACATTACTTGTTATTGATGCATTTTCAGCATCTTCAAGAAATCTTACATTTCTCTTGTGACAAGACACGGTTAGCAACGATTTTAGATATGCTTTTAGTCAGGCAGTGACATCCTAAATAAATGCAAATGATCACTGTTTCACTCTTATCAATCTAATGGATTACTATGGTGAGAAAATATCCTAAGCATTCAAAACTCTTCAAATATTTGGGAATTTGGGGTTCCATCAGTCTGTAGAAGTACTGTGGCACGAATGAGTAGCATTCTTCATTTTAATACTATAAAGCTTTACAGAAGTGTTATGTTATATATAATCTGAACCCATCATGGTAACGAATAATATGCACATCCATGACTTCAATAAACTGTATCAACCTTTATTTTATTTAAAATATGGTCTATAAATGGTGTTAGTTTCATGGCTCTTTCAAAAATGGTTAGCAAATGGACCCAAGAGGAGCATTTTAATTTCACTTTAAAAACACCAACAGAATTAAAGTGAAGAGTATCTACTCAAATACTGAAAGTACAAAGAAAAGAAAGCAAAACTATGAAACAACATTATTGAGAAGGTAAACTTTCATAGAGAGACTGGTGCAAGAAAAGATGGACATTATATTCCTGTATCTAGTGCATTAATACTTGTACAATTCCAATCAAATTTCTCTGTAATTCAAGTAGTCACCACAATGAATGAAAAATCATCCAAAGTGCCACTGAGTAGATTCACTACTTCAGTTTTCCATACTATTACAACACAGGGCTAACTGGAGTAATTTCTAGTCCCATCTTTTATAAGTTTACTGAATGCACTTGGGAAGAATACAAGAAAATCATTATCTGTGCAAGAACAGACTAGAGCTAATACATTAACAGACAATGTCTTTTCTCAGGCCTGGGAGAACTGCCGAGGAATAAAACAGTACTGCACTATTGCAAAAGAGGTCAAAAAACCCTACCTTGAAATAATTAACATGCAAGTAAAAGGGTAAAAAGCCAAGATGACAAGAATGGCTGCACTTTAACAGCAAGAACCAAAGTAAAAGTAGATGTGCCCAGTGTGAGAGTGTAAAGACAATGTATATAGATAAGAAGAAAGAAAGCATATCTACCTGGAAAGTGCATGCCAATGCAAAAATTCCAAGCATGCACAGATGAGAGAAAAGGACTGGATTATTCATTACTGGTCACATGCATTAAGGATGCAGGTGCTCAGAAAGAATACAGAAGAAAATAAATTGAAAAAATATGCTAGCAACATAGAAGTTTAGGAATCATGAATTATGTCACTATGAATGCTGTGAAGACCAGGCTGGTTTGATTCTTCCCAGAGTTTGTATAGATTTACTTTCATTGCCAACAGTACTACAGATTTCTGCCCTTGAGACTGTGCTGTGCTAGTACACCTGTCCAGCTAAAAAAAAACCTCTGGAGAACAGATCTGGCTAAAAAACAACATAGTTTAAAAAGTCATTGGCAGGTGGGAAAGTCTCCCATTCTAGTTCACTGCCCAGCAATGCCAATAGTAGACCAACACAGGGGAGAAAGCAATTGAGGGCAGAAATGAGTGGCTGCAGAAAGCAATTCCAAGTGCCATCATGTGCCTAATCATGTTTTCTGTTGTGACAACTCAGTTCTGCTTAGTATCTTTTACAGATTTGATAATGGTGTTAAAATCTCCCACTTCTAAAATTGCAAAAAACAATTTAGAAAGAATTATTTGAGTTATGTTATTCCTCAAATCTGGCCTAAAATGCAACCACATAAATTATTACAAATTTCTTAAACTGGAAATTTCTAAACCCTGCAAGCAGTGTACCGGTGATATAATAATATTGCGCTCAAAGGCTTTATCCTACTATAATTCAGACACCTAGAAATGTAGGTGGCAGGACACAGAAGATAAATTGTGATAACAACACATTTGCCTGTAAAATAAACCAACTATTTAGGTATTTTAAGTTCAATCACCCACACCATAAAAGCTTTTCAAACATAAATTTAGTACAGATATTTATGTAAGATTAAATAGGCTTGAATAGGTTTTTGTCCTGTTAGAAGATAACCAAGTAAATAATTAGAATTTTTTATTTTTTAAAGGAATGCACCAAGAGCAGCCTAAAACAATGAAATCCTTTAAAAAAATTAATTCAAACTGGGTTTTTTCAGAATGCTTTCATGTTGACAATGGTATTCTATAATTTAAAAAATCAAGTCCGTCTGATTACTGCAGGAGGAACATATTTGGAACTCTAACCCAGACAAATATTTAGTACATGTGTTCTGGTTTTTCAGTAGGTTCACTTCCACAAATAGTTACCACATTTAATTTTTGATAAAAAAGTTGTTGATAAAAAAAAGCAAGAGCACATGATTTATTTCAGACTCTTCAAACAAAACTAGCAAAGAGTTTGATGTCTTCCACTGCTCATAAAACCATCATCTGAATATAGAAACTTATGTGTGATTATATGTAAATAGATAGTATCAGATCAATAAAAATGCCTGACAACTTATCTTTATATTGTTGTTTTTAAAATGTGCTCGTTCAGCTACTTACTGCATTCACTTTCACTTGGTGGAAGCATTTGAATTTAGGGAAGTTCAGCAGCCACTGCACTGATCTGTAGCTGCTATACCAAGTGTTCACATATTTCACAGGAATTACTTCCAGAACACACACACTGCACATCAAGGCAACCACAATTAAAGAGCTAAAATCCTTCTCATTAAAAAATTGGTTTGCAATTTCTTTGGAAAAAGAAGCAACATTTTTTTCTAGCAAGCACATCTACAACACAAAGTCTATCTAGCACCAAAATCAACTATAAAACTGTGCAAGAACCACAGTTCCAAAAATTGACAGATTTTCTTTAAAATGATACGCTGTACATAGGACTTGATAGCAATGAATAATTTTTTTCCTCCAATATATATAGAAATGACTGATGAACAACTTGTAATCACCAAAAAGGAGAAAATTGAGGAAAAGGGGTAATTTAGTTATTTACGTCAGAGGTTTCTGTAATTTAAGAATAAAAAAATGCACTGTGACAATCACACACCATGCAGTTGTCAATTATTTTGAACACTAGAGATACCACATTGTTCTGACAAAATTAATGCCTCCTTCCACCCCTCAGCCAGAGTCCTTTTCCATAAGAATTAAAATTCTGAAACTGCTAAGAGAAAACATGGCATGGCCAAAGGAAAAAAAAATGTCATGCAGTCAATTAAATTTCGAATACTAGAGACAGAAACATGTAATAATCAAGAGGCAAAGTTTAATTTAACTGAAGAAGGCTCAAGAACCAATCAATTCTTTGTCAAGATACTGCCAGCATCAGAATAGGAAGGAGTTTATACAAACACTCAAGTTTCCCACAAGAATTCTTGCAGCAGCTTTCCATGGGCACTTACAGCTAGGCAGTAAGAAAATAACTCTACCAGTCTGAACTTAATCCTCAAATCACTGTTTCCACAAACTAGCAGATTTCTAGTTTACAATTCATTTTCCAATACAGACCAATTACAAGCTAATTTTAAGACCTTCCTCTAAAAAATTAAAGTAGTGAGCAGTTTTTTAAAATAAGGGAACTAAAAGAAAGTTTTTTTGAGCAAGAGACATGTAAGACTACCAACAAGACAAAGGCAACACATGGACAAAGGAAATCAAACACAAACACGAAGAGAATCTAAAACCAAGGTAACATAAAACACCACCACTCAGGGATCCTGATGAGATACCAGAGATGTGCTCCAGTCAAACACAGAGAAGCAGCAATAAAACTTCCAGCAGTCATGTGTGCATGTAGAATACAGCAAAAGCCTGTAGTGGGACTTCCCATTTCCTTTTAGTACCTTCCTGAAGGGCCAGCTCTCGTGACTGTGTAACAGATGGTGAAGATGGTGGCTTTGAAGACAGGCTTGGAGCAGGTGACCTTACTGAGGACATCACAGCAGAGGAAGCAGATGTTCCAACTCCAGGCTTGGTAAATGGAACATTCTGGCTCACTGAGTGCACAGGCTTTGAAGAGTCAATGCCACCTGAAAACAACAGCAGAAAGCAGGAACCCTTTGTATGCACTTGCACAGACAATTACAAAGCACAAGCAATCACATTTGATTCCACAGTAACTACAAAAAACAATACAGTACTTCAAAGACAGATACCTTCAGACAACTATCTACGGAACGATTGGTTGCTTTAAAAAATTCAATACCGACAGTGCTAAAAGTCCATTATAATGAACAAATTGCTGTGACAACTGCAAAAAAAAACCCCAAAAAACACGAAAGCATGATGCAGTATGAGCAAGACTAAGCTGAAGTTTCTTTTTGATATATCCCCACAATGCTGTGCTTTTACAAGTCACTCTTCCCAAGTAAGTGGAATGTAGTACACCCTTCAGCATTTGTCCCATGGGAGGAAACCTTGTGCAGTAGACCCATATTATGCCTCCCTTCCAGTGCTGGCACTTTGCAATAGGGGTATTCAGTTGTGAGACTCATATTCCAAGCACTCTGTTTCAATCAATGCTGAATATTCCACAAAACTTCTGATGTGTTTTAGACATCTGGACTAGATATAATCTGCTTAAAAAAAGGTCATATTAATACTTTGAGAGATTTTACATAGTCCAGCTGAAACTCCTATCAGACAAGGACAACATAACTTCAATTAAGTTCACTCTCAACTAAGAGTTTCTCTTCGCTTATAAATTGAGAAAATCTGTATTATGATCATTTCTAAAAAAAAAAACCTTGACTGACCAAGCTGTAAAAAAGAAGAGAAAGGAAATTATTTTACCAAAAGTACTCAGTAAACAAACACAGATATCAAGCAAGAGCATAATTCTCCATTTGTAGAGTACTTGTTGAAGTTACCAAATTTGCTAGAGGATGCAGAGGTATTATTAACTTTGCATATATAGCATCTTCTGCACATATAACTGTGTAGTTCATATGGCCATTGACTTTTCCTTGAATAATGGAGGTGATATTTCAAAGAACTTCATGAGCATGTTGAAGTTTCCTTTGGAGGGTGAAGAAGATGAGGCAGCTTAAAATGATCCTTCTGTTTTTATTATTTACAGCCAAAATTTACAGCACACATCTTTATTATCTTTAATATATTTTTCAATTTTAAAATCTGATGTTGAGCATACACATGGCTTTTTCGCAAGTCCTATCAAAATTGAAATGATGTCTTTTTCCAATGAACATACAAAGCATTTTTTTACTGCAATGGACTTCCTATAACCTCTGCTTCTGTGCAGTGTCCTGCAGATTCCTCATGGGAGCTTCAGAACCTGTCAGCAGGAATGGTCTTAATTTCCTCAAGCAAGATATGCAAGATGACAAGGGAAGTGCTTTGCCACATCCATGTGCTCACCCAGGTTTTGTAGAATTGTTTGTAGGGTGATGGTATTTTCCACATGCAAGCCAATACAGCGATGCTGGCAGCACCAAGCACTGCTGTAGAGAGCGTTAAATGCTGTAATGTCAGTGTCACGTGCTCAAAGCCAAAACAAATTTACACCTGGATTAGCTGAAGATGTAATGCCTTCCTGCCAAGTACTAATATCTGTTCTCAAGCAAAGGTTATCCAGTTGCCTTCAAAATTATGTGAATCTTTTAAATGCATTGTAAAATAAATGTTTCTAAATTCTGAGAAATAAAATCTATTTTTTTCTTCAAAAAATATCCAACCTGGAAAATCAAATATTAGACTTTATTTGGTGACTCCAAAAAGGTTTTAAATGCTGTAAGCAACCAAGACCAAAGGAAACACTCAAACAAAATTAACATTTTAAACCACATTTCCTTGTTTTCTATGTGCATTGAGGTTTTCCTTTCATGCCTCTCAACCATGAACAACTCTTGCACTAACAATAATCAAGCATAATGATCTACAGCTAAAAGACATGTTACAGAAAGAATCTATAGAACTGGGGCAAATTAGCACTGTAATTCATCATTTTTCACTATCACAAAGTTGTAACTTAATTTCTAACTGGAGACCTAGAGGTAATAGTTTAAAAAGTATCACCACAGCATCTCCTCAAAATGTTAGAAGACATGTGAGAATTATCCTTCTCTAGTTGCTTCAGCTGTGGTCTTGATTTCCAGTCCTCACAACCCCACACACCCCCTTCAGCCATCACAACATAATTTCTAAGGAGTGAGGCACCACCTCCCTGCAGCTTGTTTCCCAGCAGCATCCTTTGCCCCTGACTTTCAGTACTAGCTGCAGTCCTTCCCCTTTTTTCAACCACACCTATATTAGCAGATTTACAGGATTATAGCCTACGTTCCTACGGAACTGGGGCAGCAAGGACTTTACGTCTTGATCTGACATAAGGGGAAGTTTGCGTGTGAGATAATGAAATTAGAGTGTCTCCTGCTCAAGCAGACTGTCCACACCAGGATGCAAAGAAACCCCTGCCATATACCCACAGGAGTTCTCCAGCCCCCTCTCCTCACAGAGGAGTACGGTAAAATTCAGGCATCCTGGCTGACATCCTTGCTAACTTGAAAAGTACCAAGAATAATGAGAGTGTTACTATTTCAGCTGAAATAAACTGGAAAAACATTTAATAAAGCTACTGACCTAGAAAGACAAAAAACCAAAATAATACAAAGTATGTAATTTACATAGCATAACACTACTGGACAGATTTTTACCAAGACTGTTCTGCTGAAATACAGATTTTAAAGATAAAAGAGTGATTTTTCAGGGTTAATCTAGTTTAAACTTCCAAGGAAAAAAATCTCAAATTAGATATTTATATTCTACTTTATTTACACTTCCTAAAGCAAAGAAAATTATTCTCATTGGCTATTACTCACCAAGAGCAGTCAACTACCAGCAAAAAAAAAAAATCCTCTTAAAATAAATCTGGTTTCTCTAGTGAAATCTTAGCACACTTGCTGAAAATACTTCAGCTATTTCAGAAAGGGCCTGCTGAAGTATTAGGAAAATACTTTATTGCAGTTCTGTGTCCTTAGTACACCACATACAGAAGTTAAGAGGTGTGATCTTAGTAAATTCAACATGCTGGAGTCTTTGCAAGGCTATACATAAAATTGGATTTTTAAAGAAACCATTTCAAGTCCAGTGGTGACAACTTTAATTCAAGTAAAAAACAATTCAGAAATCAAACAATTTCTGAAAAACTCTTGCCAGCCTAAGCTTCCTGAGTAAGTCCTGTTTGAACACACAGATTTTATTAACTTATCATTCTTCTACATAAAGGATTCATTTTCATCACAGAGAGTTTTCAGTCCTGACTGTACAAAACTGCTTTGGAAAAATATATTAAAACTGTAGCATTCTGACTGGCAATCTGTCTGCAATTTGCTTATTTATAATTCAAAGATTGTAAGGGCATCTTTCACAGCACAGGCAGATACTGTATCCAAGTTTCTTTACACAAACACTCATAGAAAGCACACTTATGAATTTCAGCAAATATTTTTTTCAAGTAGTTTAGCAAAAAACTATGCACAGAACAGATGGCAACTGTTTTCCATCACTGCGTCTTCCTGAAGAAAGCAGGGAGGATGAAATATTCAGAAAGTTTCCTTCCAACAGATCATTCATTATTTCCTTATGCTTCTTGTGTATTGTATCCATACACTTTACAAGGATGTACAGGAACTGGCAAATATTTTTCAAAATCCAACTCCTTTTCTTAAAGGCTGAAAACAAATATAATACTGTATATAAAATGACTCCATATGAGAACAGTAAGACTGCACTGGGAAATTTAGAAAGCATCTCAGCATCTCAAAACCAAACCAATTATACCAGGATCAAACAATTACTGTAATTACTTTACAATTAAATTATTATGCATTTATTTGTAATTATTTATGTAAGTATTTTACTATTGGGGTGTTGTAGCAATTGGATTTTTAATATATTTTAGCCAAAGAAGTTGAGTTCTAGATTAAAATAAAACAGGTATCATTGGAGGCAGTTTGTTTAGCCATAGATCAAAAATGGTTTAAAGTGTTCAAGGTTTAGTAATAAAACTGTCAAGCTCTTCCTTCAGCCTTACTGTCAGCTGCTATGTTTATCTGCTTTTCTTAGTGAGGAAAGATGGATTCATTTGTGTCCTGAGGTTGAACCAGAATTCCAGGGAAAGAAAAAAATTATTTTGCAGATAAATAATTTCCAGAAACATGTGCACTGTGCAATGAAGCATAGGGCATGCTTCTATCAGCAGCTTTACAAGCCCAGAAAGAGTCTACATCTGGTGTAACTATTGAGGCCTACAGTCCGGCAAACCAACCAAGGACTGCAGTATGACTCAAGTACAACAAAAACAGTGGAACATAACTGCAAAGTGAGAATCCATGACACAGCATTATCACAACCAATTCTATCATTAGTTCCTTGAAATCCAAGTGTAATATTACTACTTTTCCATGAAACTGAATCACCCCCTTAAGAGCAACACTGAATGGTTCAAAAATAAAACTACTGCTCATATTGCTCTTCACTGTCTGGTCAGCTCCACTGCTTCACCTTTAAAACAGCTACTCATTGCAAAAAAATTTGCCATGAACAAATGACTTCAAGACACCTCTACAGGAAATAAAATTAACAAGCATTGGAATTAAAAATTTCTGTAAATAAAACAGTAACAGTTTGAACAAAAAATAAGTTGTTTTCATATGCCTACTGCATATTGCACTATTCTGGAAAGACACCTGCATTTTGTCAAGTCCAGCTGCACATTCTGCACTGAACAGAGTCAACTTTTTTGGCTAGTCCTTGAAAGAATCCATTTTTAAGCATAACCATGAAATGCTGGTAACTTCAGGAGCTTTTCAAGGAGCTCCCTATTTTTCTTTTTTAAATGGTATTTTGTTTCATGCTTTGAAAATACTAGAGAAAAATATACACAGCACTCATCAGTAAAGGATTCAAATCTACTAATATTAAATGACACTCTGCATCCTATTCTTGGGAGTGAGCGAACCAATACTGAAACTAAATTCAAACTGTGGATTGAATGAACTTCATTTAAGCTTAACTGCTTTTCCCAAAAAAAGCTTTATCAAAGCCATATTCTTTCTTAATTCTTTCTTGGTCTGTTAAAATTTCAGCTACTAGGACTCCTAACACAGTTTCAATGTTACACTATAATCTGAAATATTTAGCATTAAGAAGGAAACCTACAGCTATGTAACATCTCTCTTTAGTAGAGAAAGCAAGCTGTAGTCTGCTTTTACAAGTCAAAACTGCATGAAGTCAGAAAATTCCCTGTTTAGAAAGAAAATCAGACCAAATCCTGCACAGACTATTGCTCTCTCCTCTGCAGAGCAAGATATTTCATCAGGAAGGTACTCCCACATCTCCAATCTCTTCCATGTTTCTCTAACCAGAAAAGAAAAAAGTAGCTTTGTGAATAACAGACATATTTCAGAAATAACATATTCCTTCAGAACTGCATGAAAAAGCTCCCTTCTGAGGCCACTCACATGAAAAACCACACAAATAAACTAACACCATCTCCTAAGTAGTGTATTTTTCTGTATCTCTCAATAGAAACAAATAGCTGCTATTGTGAGGACTGTGGTAACCAAATTAGAAAAGCTACAAGAATGAGTGACAGTACTCAAAATTACATGTACACACAGTGAACATGAACAAGCCAACAAGAGCACAAGATTACTTGTATTTCCCAGACAAATCTGGCAGTTCACTATCTTTCAAGTAGCACCTTACCTGTATTTATTTGGTTGTTTACTTTAGGAACAGATCCGGTGAGATTCCTGCTGAGGTTGTCTTGCACAACCTGAGCAGATGAAACAGTTGATAACGTTGTATTATATCCCATGGGAACGTGCTGTTGAAGAGAATGAGGTACTGATGTACTCTGGCTAGAAAATGCATCTGTCTCTTTGAACTGTCCAACAGCAGGTAGACTCTGAGAGGTAAATGTCTGCCCATACACACCTCCAGCAGCCACAGGAGGATAGGAAACATTAGGATACATGGCACCAGAAACCACAGGCATAGCGTACTGATCAGAATTAAGGGGAAATCCCTGAGATGCAACTGAAGAGCTGACAGAAGTGCTGTAGTGATTATCAAAAGCTGAATATGACTGCTGAGCACTCACATGCAAGTAGGAGGCAGATGATACTGCTCCTTGAACAGGTCTGTCACTGGAGCCCCCTGAATGGGGAGGAGTATTGTTGTACAATTGATGTGACTCCTGTGTATTCAACACGTTGCTACCCACAGATGTCATAACATTTTGTGCTGGTGCTGAATAGTAACCAGGGTAGTAACTGGCTCTGTACTGATTATCCAGATGTGAAGCAGCAGCTTTATTGGGCACTTGGGAATAGTGTCCTGAAGGCGCACTGTAGCTTGGAAGATGTGAGCCATAGCCAGAGGGAAACTGCATCTGACTCTGCATAGGACCTGAAATGAAGAGAAAACATCACACATATTAAAGGGGCATCTGCTAGTAGTCCCAATGGACTCTGCGCTTGAACTAACAAACAACTGCTTTCTTCTTTTCTGTTTTTGAGTTTGAGTCTCATCAGCAGAGAGAGAATAAACCAAGTATAATGCACGCAAATACAGTATTTGAGTAATGCAAATACACAAAGAAGTAGTAGAAAAATGGATTGCTTCCATTCTTGCAAGAGGTTTCCATGCCAAAATTGTTCACCTCTTGTTTGTATTTTGAGTATTTTTAAGAGTTTATAGGAGGTTAATATTTAAAAAAATAGTGAGAAACCATAAGCACCAAACTGATAATGTGTTTGAATACAAGCATTTGCCTTACAGAAAATGCCTGATTATGGAAACAGAAAAGCTGCAGTCAAATCAGTATGTCAATACATAACAATATGGGTATTCTTCTTTACAAGTCTTCAATACAGTGACCAAGATAAAGAGTTGCAGAACAGTTATTCTTGTCTTCTATGCCTTATGTATTGTGTTTTCAGGAAAACAGATGTTTTTATGAAATTACAATGTATTTGACAATTTTCATTTGACGTCATTTTCATTTACTGCATGATACATCAGGTGTAAGAGATGTTGGTATCAGAGAAACTGACCTCTGGTATCACTGCAATTGCTCTGCAACATTAGAGGTTAATTACATACTGGCCCAGCAAGGGTCAAACAAGTGCTTGTCTGCTAGAGACCAAATGTTAACTATATCCAAACTGATTTTCTCAGCCAACTGCTCAATGGGAAATCTCAAAGTTCTTCCTCATGAACCATTCCTTAACCCCGTTTTTATTTTTAGTGAACCACAGATGCTTCTCTGCAGATAACTTGCTTTCTTAAAATTCTCACACCCCTATTGCTTACATCAGGCAGAATGATTACACCATTATTTCCCAGTCCCTGACCAATAAAAACATAAATACATCACTGCCCTACTCACAAATTAAATAGCAGTTGAGGTAATAATGAATAGTTGATTCCCGTTTATATTTACAATGATTACAAACCTTAAGCATTACTTCCCTTGTCTTGAAATTCTGAAAAATCACTGTTCTCCAAGGAACCTCTAGGCAATTTTAATAATGAATTTGTTAACGGAGTCCAGAAAGCAAGGTACATACTGCCCAAAATTGCTTTCTGGTAAAATTAAAAATGCCCTTTCATAACTGACAGGAAGTTGAATAGAAGAGAAAGGAGCTAAAAACTGCAGAACAGTAACTTGGATTGCCGGATCAAAAGACAGACAGACAGGCACTTGGGGGAAAAGTATAAAGAGCTTAAAAAAAATTATCTCGAGTTTTGAAGAAAGTATGTATGAGCTATGTTTCTGATTCACCTTCTTCTTGAAAAAGTGGGAGCTACTTTATAGAGCTGTGTAGTTTTTTCTCCTTTAAAGGAAAATGATTTTGAGTTAGCAAGCCATTAACAACTTTGCCAGACTTTTGGCCTGCTTTTTAAAGTCTGAAAAAGCAAATCCAAAAATACAGCAATAATTTACATGTGTCAAGGTTTATGGCTTTAAGCAGCTATGCCACCTAAGGTGGCAAGAAAAGATTTTTATTTGAAAATAAAATGTGTATCTGTTCTACTGATATATGCAGATTTAACTAAGTAAGCAGGTATACCTCAGAAACTGGTTTAGGAGCACATGACTCCTAAATAAAAGGTTGCATATCAAATCATCTACTGCAAAGTCTTCTAGTATCTAGCTCTTGTTTCAAAATACACACCATGAACAGAGATTAAATTACCAACACCAACAAGGTATCAGTCTCTATATGATAGAATGCAGAGTCCTTTTTATTCACATTTTAAAGCAGAAATATCTATAAATACACAGATGAAAACCTCACTGAGACAGATAACATTTGAAAAATTATATTGATTTCAAGCTGTAGGTCCTTTGAAGGCAAGTTTTACAATTACAGATGAAAGATTATTCTCATTATCTGAAGTGAGTTTTTTGTCCATTTGATTACAAAGATGTTAGTAGAAAGTAATTTTTGTACTGCAATTAGTAGCTGAAGCTCCTAATGGTGACTAGCTAACTGGACAGTCTTCAACACTGGAAATCAGAACACATCTTCAGTGTCATTTCAAAATCCGGTTAATTGCACAATCAGTCACGATGTCTCAGGTCATCCTTCCAAAACACCTGACAAATATCTCAAAAAAATCCATAAAGGAGCTGAAAGCCTCAGCTGTACACAGCAGTTGTATCTCTGAAACATCATCTCTGCAATAAAAGCAGCGCACCTCTCCTTCTCCAAACAAATTAACACTTATTATATAAAGTATGCAATTATATAAAGTTACAATGTGTAACTACAGACATTAACAGGTGAAACCCAAAAATCCTAATTCTTTTCAAGGGAGGGATGAGCCACAATGCAAAAAACTCTAAACTCCCAGAAAAAAATAAAAGGAGCTGTGCTATGGCTATACCACCACGTGAATTAGTAAGGTTTTGTTTGCTAAGGTCACATTTGATTTTTATGTCCACGCATTCCCTCAGCAGCATAATTGAACCATCAGCCATATACCCTACCTACCCCACAGCATATGGGTATATGCATCCATGAAGTCTATGGATGCTACACCACCAAACTGCCTTTCTACCTAAATCCACCTGTGAGCGTTCCAAAACTTCTAACCCCCTTTACCCACCTCCAGAAAAGACTCCCACAGCCTCCTCATATGTCCTTCATGCCATGGGCAGGGCTAAAGGCCCCTTGTTTACTGCTGGCAAACAAACCAGCAGATGAAGGTGGTGCTGAGCTCTCACTACAGCTCAGTCACAGAACTGGTGTCTCCTCCTTCAGGAGGATTCACATAGCTTCCCATTTTCACAAAATATTCAGAGGTTTCCCATCTTTCACGTCTCTGTTCTCTTTGTCAAATTGACTAAAACTACCCTCAGCCTGAGGAGGGATGAAAAACAAGGCTGAACAGCATAATAATGAAAATTTTGCTTCCGAAATGCTAGTAGAAATACCAATAGCAGCCTTATAAACCAGCTGTAGACAGCACCACATAAAACTCTTCTAAAGAGTCATGGGAATTCAATACAATTATCCTCCCAGTGCTGCATTTCAATACATTAAATTGTTAGTGCTGAAGTCCTCCACCACTACCGAAAAAATACATCATCCTTCCGTACTGATTTAACAAGAACAATTTTGTTATGCTGAAATTAGGAAATAGGTCATTTTCCACTTAGATAGAAAGCCACTTTCAAGACTACAAAAAAGCTTCCCAAACTTGCAAGAGAGAAGAAAGAAGGTAATACCATACACTCAAGAAGTTACTTTTAAAAACTCAACAAAACAATCACACCTAAATTTAACAAAAACAGAAGTCTCCAAGGATCTCAAATGGACTTGGTAATTGAACCAGGCATAATTCACTAAGAACAAACCTGAACATCCTTTTTAATATCATTCTATGTATAACAGGCTGCTTGCTTTCTGCAAAAGGCACTCTCTTTCATTAGATGGCAGCAACTACATAGTTTTACCTGAAAAAATCACATTTTATCAAATTAAAACACAGAGCACTCTAAAGGAAAAGACACACCAGTGTTTTCTTTCAGCCAATACAGAAACAGCTCAATTCACATCAGGATCTTAAATTTAAACTCCACTCCAATGACATAAAATTAAATTTCAAAAGCAGTGACAATCCTGTTCATGAAATTTAGTTCCTATCATACAGTACAGAACTTTCCGCTAGTCTTTTGCTATTGCTATTCCCTTCTACTTCCTCTTATTTCCATCAAAAAAGAAAAACCCAAAACCTCGAATCCTGTGTTGTAACTTCAGGAGATTAGCACTCAGATAACAGATAGACCAATCAAAAATTTTTGGAATACCATTGTTAGATGTCACAAAAAAAATTCAGGGTTATTGACTAATGTCATCAAAGACATCTAAAGGAACACAAAAACCAAAGTCATGCAATAAACATTTAAGACTGTTATTGAACAGTGTACGCATTTCTCAGAATTAAAGCGCATTTTGCAGAAAATAAATGATCTATGCCCTGGTTTTACACAAGCAGTTTCTATCAATATTAGTAGCAACATGGAGTTAATGAATTAAAACAACAAATAGTATGATGGCTCTTTAAAATTATAAGCTAAGAAACAAAGAGAAGATAGAATGGCAGCTTCTATTTGTTTCTGTAAAACGCTTACAGGTTATTCATGCTGTAGCAGCTGTATCCTGATAATGACATGTTTTTTGACTAAAAGCCATGTAAACTGTCATTTTCTGAACAATTTTTACAAACCTCAGCATCACAATACCGGTTTGGATATAACTGAAGCATCAGTATCTCCTCAAAACCTAGCATTTAATTATCTTCATTTTCTTCAGTGACTGTCTCAACACCTACTGTATAGGCATTTAAGTGCTTAGCCCTTAACTACCACTTTGGACACAAAAAAATTCACAATTCTCAAGTAAATTTTATAGGTCCCTACCCTGCACAGAAAACACACCTGTGCAGAAAATAGCATGACTACAAGCGATTAAACAGTATGAGCTAGAACTCTATGCAAATAAGAGGCCAAATTCAGATACCAAACCAACATTACACGGAGGAAATTATTTTATAGGCATTTTGAAGAGTTAACATGGTGTGTCAATAAAGAACTGATTTTACAGCCACCAATTAAAAAATGCGGAAGTGTACACTCATCACTTTCATTCATACTATAGTCAGTATCACTCCCTCCTCAACTGAAATGGGCGCCAATATTTTGTGACTTCAAACTATCCTGCCTTTGTTTTTCAGTGACCCACATCTCACCGGTCCAGTGTTGCCTGTTCAGCTCAAATCCCAAGATCCAGTTGTGCGAACGCCTACCCACACACAGCTACAAAGTGAGTACTCTCGCCCCTAATACGCGATTCTCTGCCCATTCTCACGCACGACAGCCCGCCTCGAGGCCTGGAGGAGCCTCGGCCTCCGGAGCCTTCCTGAAAGGCCACGAAACAGGCGCCACAACACCGGGCACATCCCAACCCGCGAGGAGATGGAGGCGCGGATGCCATTCCCCCCTCGCGGCCCCTCAGCGAAGCGGGAGAGGCTGCCCCTTCTCAAGCTCTTTCCGCACGCAGCCGCGGGCTCCGCGGTCCCGCCGCCTCCCCAGGGCCTCGCTGCGCGCCGGCCGCACCGCGCCCGCCCCCGGGACAACGGCAGAGCGCGCGGAGGGCCCCGGCACCCGCGGGGGCCTCAGCCCCGCGGGAGCGGCGCGGCTCGTCCCGGGACCCGCGGGCGGCCCTTCCCCGCCCGCCCGGGCCCCGCGCAGTCCCTCACCGTTCTGGCAGCGCGGCGCGCCGCCCGCAGGGGCCGCGGCCTCCGGGGAGCTGCCGGGCCCGCCCGGAGAAAACGCGGCGGCGGCGGCTGCGGGCCGCGGCGGCAGCCCGGCGGGCGCGGACATGGCTCCTCGCAGCGCTTCTTCTCTGCGTCCCGCTCCTCTCCTTCCTCCTCCTGCTCCTCCGCCGCCCCGACCCACCGCCGGCGCCGAGCGAGGCCGGGAGCCGCGGGAGGGCCCGAGCGCCGCCGCCCGCAGCGCCCCCCGGCGGCGGCTCCGCCGTGAGGCCGCGCCCCGCCCGGCCCGGGCGGAGGGCGGGACGGCCCGGCGGGGAGGGCATGGCGGGCAGCGGGCGCGCCTCCCGGCCGCCGGGGTGTCAGCTCGCCCGGTGCCGGCGGGAACGGCCCGTGTGACGGGGAGAACCCCCCGGCCCGCTTAGGCTGTGTATGCAGGGCTCTGTGCCTCATCTGTGACTCCGTGGGCAGGCCGGGGCAGGGCGAGGAGAGGGATGTGATCATCCTGCCCCTCTGCTCGGCCTTAGGGAGGCACGTCTGGAGTGCTGTGTCCAGTTCTGGGCTCCTCAGCACAAGCGGGACATGGAGCTCCTGGGGTGGGTCCAGTGGAGGGCAACAGAGATGATTGAGGGGCTGGAGCATCATTTATCAAGAATGGCTGAGGGAACTAGGCTTGTTAACCTGGAGAAGAGACAACTGAGAGAGGATTTCATCGATATAAATCTAAATATATATCTATATAGCATATAAATACTTCAACTGGGGGTGCCAAGAGAATGGAGCTGGGCTATTCTTTGTGATGCCAAACAATAGTACATGAGGCAATGGGCAGAAACTGATGTACAAGAAGTTCCGCCTGAACATGAGGAAGAATTTTATAGTGACTGTGCACTGGAACAGATTGCTCAGAGAAGTTGTGATGTTCTCTCTCACTTCACTATCAAGAGATGCTTAAGAACCATCTGGATGCAATCCTGTGCCATGTGCTCTAGGGTGACCCTGCTTGAGCAGGGAGGCTGGACCAGATGAGCCACTGTGGTCCCTTTCAATCTGACTGATTCTGTGAGGCTGCTCCATGTCCCTGTCTCAGGGCAGAGACATGTACATATGCAATACATACACCTGTCCTTATTTTGCCTGAGACATTTTTGTCTGTATAGATAATGTATGCTATTTTAGGTATCAATGTACTCTGGACCACACAGAGAGGTAATGTGTACTGCACAGGGGAAAAGGCCTCACAAGGTGAGGTGAGGTGAAAGCTCTCCCTCTGTAATTATTCTTGTACAGACAGGAAAGCCTTAATGAGATGGGCTGAGTTGAGGCAAGGCTTTTCTTTCAGTGTTAGGAGTTCTCACTGTATTCTATCAGTCTCCAGTGTGGATATATGTTTTCTATTGAGACAGGCCTTCACAAGAAATGGCAAGGTGAGACAAGGGAAGACTTCAGTCTCTGTGCAAAATATATACTTCATATTCTCTCAAGAGGAAGGAAAGTGCTGGGGAGCCTCTGCCATGGTTTAACCTCATCCAGCAACTGAGCACCGCACAGCCCCTTATTCACTCCCCATCTGGCTGCAATGGGGAAGAGAATTGTAATTGTAAAAGTGAAAAAACTCATGGGTTGAGATAAAGTCTGTTTAATAGTTAAAGCAAAAGCTGTACACACAAGCAAAGCAAAACAAGGAATTCCTTCACCACTGCCATGGTCAGGCAGGTGTTCAGCCACCTCCAGGAAAGCAGGGCTCCATCACATGTAATGGTTATTTGGAAGACAAAACACCATTGCTCTGAATACGCCTCCCTCCCTTCTTCTCCCTCACCCAGCTCTATATGCTGAGCACACCACCACATGGTATGGAATATCCCTTGGGTGAGTTGGGATCAGCTGCCCCAGTTGTATCCCCTCCCAGCTTCTGCTTGCCCAGCTCCCTCCCTTGCTGGTGGGGTGGTGTGAGAGGCAGAAAAGACCTTGACACTGTATAAGCACTGCTCAGCAGTAATGAAAACATCTCTGTTTTATGAGCACTGTTTGCAGCAAAAAGCCAAAACAGTCCACACTAGCTGCTGTGAAAAAAATTAACTCTATCCCCTGCCAAAACCAGCACATCCTTCCCCATTGGCTGCTGTTGATAAAGGATTTCTGTTCAGTTTAACACCTTCCACAGTCTAAACCACACACTAAACCATATTGATTTTGACTGTCTCTATCACCTCTCTATCACCTATCATTCACTCAGACACTACTCAAGACTGGGTTAATTGCTCAGGTTGTTTAATTAATTATGCACAATGTCAAAAGCACTATAATATACTGGTGATTTATATTGTCAATACTAAATCCAACGACACTGAGTCACCTTTACTTTTTGCATACATTTGACCAGTCCCTGCCCTGTGTGTTTGCTGCTCTTCCTACTGGTTATTATGCATGTCTGTCATTAACTACTTCTTAAATTTCTTTGCCTGTATGCTTAGCATATGGCCCAGCTCTGACTATTACAAAGCACACAAGCCATCTTTTAATTCTGCAGTAATTGACTGTATTGGAATGTTTCTCAGCCTTCACATCCTATCAGACTATGTAGAGGTGTCTTGTGCTGGCCTCTATTAGTCCTTGGATTGTAGATCCATATCTGAAAGAAATTGTTTCTTCTCTGTGACCTAATGAAGTAGGGCAAGAAATAATGGGCTCAAAATGCAGCAAGGTTCAGGTAAGCTATTAAGAAATAAACATTATTAAGATACTAAAGGACTAAGTGGCATGGGAATGGTGTGACATTGCTGTAATAGAAGGAGTCTTAGCAGGGGTTACATAAACATTTTGAGAATCTGACTGTCAACCAGCAAGTGACCTCCTGAAGTCCCTTCAGGGCATTGTTGTTCTGACAGGGTTAACAAATTCTGTGGTTAAAGTTGTTCTTCTTTCATTGTAACCCTTGTTTTCCCCTCTGTATAACCCATATTCTGTCCTACACAAAGCACTTCTGAGAAATGATTGCATGACAGCAAAATAATTCAGATATGTGGACAAGCAGCTCATTTGTCTTTTCATTCTTAATGCTCTTTGAGAAGGTACGTAACTGCTTCCTTGTACTACAACTGTATTTTGTCACAGCATGCAGCGCATATGAATATGTGTTTTGACAAAGGTTTTTCCTTTCCAAAGTCTCATTTCTCTAACTCCTGGTACTGTGAAACCATAAATACATCCTATATCACAACCTTTGAAAATTATGTATCAATTTAGGATCAAGCAGAAGTAGTTATAGATCATTGTCCTAAAAGCAAGAGGAGGCAACTGGGAATTTTCACATTTTTGGAATGCTTTTACAAAACCTTTTACATGGCTTGATCAATTATTTTCTACAAACAACAATGACACTGTGGTTAAACCATTAATTTGTAGGAAATACAGATGAGTTGGCAGCTAGAGCACAATCCCCTAATGGAAATTCACCATAAACTCAAACCCATTAATTTTGTTTTCCTCGTTTATAATGAATCTGAAAGAATTATCAAGAAATGAGTATTCATGTCTGCTTTTTGTGCTACCATGCAACAAATAACACAGGAGCTGTGTCACCTAGGCCATTGCTTCCACCTAGTCTAGCAACAAACTTATTACAGGAGTAATAAATTCTTTGGCCAGTTGATGGCTTGATTACTAACAGAGATATTTTGACCTTTGTTGGGTGTTGGACACACAAAAAAAATCCCTCTGCCATTTGGGTTTGCTGAACAAATGTGAAAGTGCATCTTGTTACCTCTAACCTGGTAAATGAGGCATTAAATTTCCAAACCTAGAAAAAAAAGGTAATTTTTATGTGGAAGAAAACCTAGGAACAAATAATTATAAACTGAGTCAGAAATAATTTTGAACTTCAGCATAACTAACCCAAGTTTCCTCTGCTTTGTCACACGCTTCAGAGGGAGAATGACAAAATTAGGTGCTTTTATAACCTCCATCAACAAAATATAGCTGTGGGTCACTCTTACTAATAAATATTTAATTATTGTCCTGTATTTCTAACAGGAACTGGGCCACTTCAGTGCAAAGCAATAAGGCTTCACATTTCCAATTGCGTTAACATCACTGCAGTGTGATTGCTTTCCAGAATGAGAACAGCAAATCAAGACTCTTGATGTCACTGTGAAGTGTTCCTCTGCTTGGGTGACCTCTACATTTGACTGACAGATAAATCCCTGCATCTACTGGGTGAGAGCTATGCTATACTTCATTTGCAGCTGACTAATTAGCAGAAGAGGTCCCAGGGTAGTCATGCTCCACTTTAAATAAAAATCTTTCAAAATTCTAAACTCTTTCAAACATCACATCAGTTGTGATGCAGCTCAGTTTTCTTACATATGTACAGATTTACTTTCCATGTAATTTATTTTGTTAATTATCCAGATAACTCCAGAGGAGTTTTGTGTCTCAGCAGTGAGACTGTTTGTCTGCCTGAAGCACTTGGCATGCATTATGGCTGGGCACACAAGACTGAACTGTGCTTCATTTTCGTGAGGGTTTTTTTTCTTTTTGGCCTTTCCTTTTTTTCTCCCCTGGGGTATTTATACCTGTAATGGAAAAGGCTCAAAAAGCAGCAGGTTCTACCTGGGTGTGGTTTTCTAAGGAAAACTTTACACATGCATACTCTTTTTGGACATCATGTTTCCCAATCACTATACAAATTATAGGATAAAGGGGTCTGCGACTACCAACATAATAGTGGTGACCCAGCTACTTTTGACTACATTGGCATCAACAACAGTCTAATTGTCCTCATCCTAGGGAGGCTGTAAATGATGTAAAATAATTATTTAGCTCTTTGCTGGACCAAGGCAATGAGCTCTGCTAACTGCTACAGCTGATAGTTGCTGGTGATAGGTGTTGTCTCTGCTCATACTCTAGTCCATAATGTCCATTATACCTCTTCATATCTGGATATATGACATAAATTCTCACTTAACTTAGTACTCCTGATTGGCAATTATGCCTGATAAGCCTCTTGAGTAAATAAACATACATCTGTATCTAGGCTTGTAATATCCCTGGGTGGTTTCATCAGCTGCAAAATTCAGTCTATGGCAACAGTACTTAGAAATCACCAGGCAAGCTACCACTAAGGAAGAGCCTCAGCTGTACCCTGAGATCAAAATATTTTCATGAAATTATGTTCAAAGGGAAACTCTAGCTGCAAGCTTTCATATGACCTTGGGGCACAGCTAAACAAAAG